CTAGTTAAACATAACATATTTTCCTTGGTCTCTACAAAGTGTTTAGGGTGCTTATAGTCCTTTAAAATGGATGAGAAAGCCACTTGTCATCGTTATTTAATGCTTCTGAACTTGATTTCAAAATCCCCGTCAGGTCCTGAAGTAGTTTCCTTTTGCTTCTGCCCCAGCTTTTGAGCCAAGGAACAAATCGAGATTCTTCTTCAGAGTGTGCAAACCTAGCCTAGGCACCTCATTCTATCCTCTCCAGGTCATGGCTCAGCACGAAAACACAGCAAATAAACTCTGTGCTGTTGCTGCTGGGGTTATTATTTAGCTATTCTTATTTTTTAACCCAGAAAACAACCCAATTGGACATCTCAGGACTTCCTAATCATTTGCCTTGCTATATAAATAAATAAATAAATAAATAAATAAATAAATATATATTTACACTTTCTCAGGTGATGGCTATTTGTCTCCCACACCAGCAGGTGCTGAAATAAGGCAGTGTGCATTTCTTGTTCCTCAGTGCTGCTTCCAGACCATTTTCTCTCCCACCTCCTTAAAGACTCACAGATTTGAGTCTTAGATTGTCAATCCATACTTCCTACTATCTCTCCTTGTGGAAGTCATCTTCCACTCTGAGGATACTTTTCCAACTTTCCTGAGGAGTCTTGAACTCTTGGCTTAGGGTAACTCTTATCAACATGACTCCCAAAATAATTATTAAAAATTACATTATACAGAGATAATCTTTCTAAAACCTTGGGCTCCGAGTTCTTCGGTCTCTTCCTTCAAAGTTGCTTTCTCCCAGTCTACCTCACTCATGTATTCTCTTGATCAGTGACTGCAAATCCTCTGCATTCTTCAGTTATCACCGCCATCCATCGAGATCACTCTCTATCAACTCCAGTTCCAACAAGCTGTAGACCCAGATTTCAACCCATTGACTCCAGGATATTTTCACTCTCCTTTCCTCCCTTGGGCCCTCACTTTATTCTACCTGTATCTTAGTTATTCTCACCCACTGCACCATAACTCTCTTACTTCACTTTTCATAAACCCACAGTTTGAACATGACCCTAGTTAAAAACAATAGTCTATCTAGTATATATCCGTATTCATGGACATGAACATCACTGGAGAAAAACACAGCTATGTCGGGTGACTCCTCTTATTTTAGTGATTTCAGTGGACACTTAAGGCTGCCATTCTGTCAAACTTCCTCTTCTCCCCTTTAACACACAGCACCTGCACTTCTACCACTCTCAGATGAAATTCTCCTGTCTCTACCTGGTCATTAAAAATATTCAGAAAAAATTATCCATCAAAACCACATCCACTCACTTATCTACATATGTGCCCATAGCTTCTACATTCTCACTGACACACATACATCACAGAAGATGGATGCACTTCCAGCTAAAATAAACTTTTCTGGTGAACTAGCTCCCATACCTTATCACCTGCTAAAGGAAACTGCTCAAGTATCTAGATGTAAATCATAAAGATCTCTAAGGAATATCTTTAAATGAAAATTTAAAAAGCAGATTTTGATCTGAATGAGCCAACAATTGAGAGAATATTCTAGTAGAAATAAGCTTGCAGATGTCTTATGCTTAATATACTCACTTATTTTTGTTATTATTGTTAAATGTATTTACTTGCTCACATATACATTCATTCATTTTTTCACTCACACATTTATTGAGCATTTAGTTTGTGCTAGGCATTACTCTAGATCTGTAGATACAGCAATGAAAAAAGCAGACAAACAAATGCTTGCGTTCCTGGGCTTTCTAGTACAGGAACAGACCATAGACAACAAAAATATGTAAGATATAGGGTATGTTGGATGGCAGTAAGTGCTCCAGAGAAAAAAATTCAGGGAAAGGAAATAAAGATAAGGCTAGAAGGGCTATAGTTTTAAGACCAGGGCAAGCTTATCTGTCATTGAGAAAGAATTGGAAAGCAGTCAATATTTATTGAGTAATTGCTATAAGGTGTAGACACAAACTCAAAATAATTCGGTATGTGTATCTACTTATATTGGATTCAGCTCAAATTTTATTCACATTGACTCTGAAGTTTTACTTTTTACCATCTCTAAACAAAATTTATTATAGTTATCATTAATTGAGCCCTATTAAGTTCAACTAACATAGAATTACTCAACCTACTTTATCTCATAGACTCCCCAAAGGCAACTAGGAGATAAGCATCACTCTCTAATTTACAAGTGAGAAAACAGTTTTTGAAATGTGATAGTTATCAGGCAAGATTATGAAACTGGTAAGTGGCAAAGCCAGAATTCAACGGGGAGACTGTGACCTGGTAGCCTCTTCCTACCATGCACACTGCTCCCTTGGTGATTATGAGAAGAAGCCCAGAGTTCTGACACTGAATAAAGATGTGGTGGGGCCATCCTCTGCTAACAGAGCTCTTCTGGCAACATGCAGAGTGCACATGGGAACAATGGCAATGCCCTGAAGAAAGTTAATGTTCACTCCTGAAACGTCTCCATCACCTTTAAGCAACATCCTCCTTCCCATGCCCTCTTGCTTTATTTACTTATTTATTTGATGAAACCGGAGGGGGAGATAAAAAACAAAGTGAACTCCTATTGTGTCAGGCCCTAATTAGTACCCTAAACTGCCCAATGAAATACTCTGAATCCATGAGCAGCTAGAAGCCTTTCTAAGCATCTCTTAGAAATTAGTGAAAATGTAATACACTAAACCAGTGGTCTTCAAAATTCTTATGTAATCTCTAACATAATTTTTTAAAACTACTCATCCTCTTGTATATTTTTATAATGACATCCAAAATATTTATTTTCATCATAAATGCAAAGGATATAATTTTCAGCACATTACATTATAAAAATGTAATTTTAAAATATAACTTTTATATTAGTCTTATATATAACTTCAGTTACATATTAGTCATACAGTAACATATATGTGTATAAAATATAAAATACAACTTTTATATTATATCCATTAGTGACAATAATATGACTTCATGTTCTGGAAACTGTTCTTGTTAGTGGTTCCACAATTTTGGACAAAGAGAAGGTATTTCTTCTTCCAGTATGTATTGTGAGACTTAATTAATGGGTGTAGAGTAATTGGAGAGTGCAAGACAAAAGTCCCCATAGTAGGAAAGTACAAAAAAAACCTATTGAAACACTGTACAATGTGTCATCTCAGCTGGCTTGGATGATAAAAATAATCAGGTAATTGTCCCTTATTGTTGAGCTCCTCTGGAGAAAGAAGGGCCAAAATGGGATCAGTCTTACCTAGAATCCAGTATATACCTGGAGATGTATCTCACTGAGACTTGTTTGTTTGGCAAGATATTACTTTTAACTACAACTCAGGTGATATCACAAAGAATTCTGATTACAATTAAGTGAGCTAAGTAACAACTGAGGCATTAAATTTATGCATAGTTTTTATTTTATGACTTTATTTCTAGATGTGCTCATGGCAGGGAGAGTAAATAGGATTTACCTCCGGGGTCAGTCCTAAATAATTGCTTGTGGCTGACAGGAAGGTCAATAATGTAAAGGATTCTGAGGCCTCAGCTAGGCTCTTAGAAAAGAGGGTCATGGTTGATGACCTTTGGCTCTTTTGGCAGTGAAAGCAGAGAGTTGTAGCAAAGGTGCCTTGTAATTTCCATGCCTAGTATAGGCCGTCATTACTACAGTCAGGTCAGAAAGTGGTAATGATGTTCATACACATATCTAGGAAAATCCCTAAGGGTGTGGTACACCTAATCCTGCCAAGTCATGTTCAGTTCTATAAGTACAGACATACAGTTTCTTTTTTATTGTTGTCTTCCTAGTAACTGGGCAAATATGAAAATAGCCAATTGCATTCTATTAAGCTGTTGCTTAGTAGCCACGTGCTTGATTAAATTTAATTTGCTTTTCTTCATACCAGTGCAGACAAAGCTTAAATATCCTTTGAGTGAGTATTTTTTAGGGCTTGGCTCTATTTCTAATCAAACTCTGAAGAGGCTTTTGCCAGAAAATTTGAAACTATAGAATTACCTTGTTCTTTCCTGGGGCCAATTAACTGGGCAGATTCTTTGCATTCAATTTGAAGCTCTTGTACCTTAGCTAAAGTTTCATCTTCTCTCCCAGCAGTTGGAAACCTATCCCCTTGCACAACAGAAACTAAGCCTGAACCTCAGGCTTACTGAGCTGAATAGACCTTGGCGCCAGTCTCCAAATATTTATGTGCAGAATATCCCAGAAGTGCAGTTTCACTCTTTCCCTTTCATACGCCGTGAAAGGAAGTGAAGGAGGTATGCCAGGTTGTTATTCAGCTCTAGTATTTAATCAAGCATTGCCAGGGCACTTTTGAAATCCTCCAGCTTCTAACTGGAGAGTAAAAGCAAAGAGAACACAGGATGGAAACTACTTAATGGAGAAGGCTTTCAGGATTACTCAGGATCATATGGCCGTTCTCAGGTAGGGCCCAATTATTCCCCAAACTCCTGAAAGTCAACAAGAAACCCCATCTCAGTCCTGGTGATTATTTCCAACTTCACGCTTCACAGCTTTCTCAAGGATGAAGAACACATTAATTAATTCACGTGTTAAGTGTGACTTTTTATAAAACCGATTTCAGTGCAGTACAGACAAGGCTCCTCACTAATGACCCTACTACAACTTCTCCATTCAGGTTTTAAATGCACAGATAGGACATCCTCCTATGGAAAATAAAGGTTTGTTTATTAGGTAGGAGAACAACGCGGGGCCGGTAGAGCAACAGGTGCAGGGAATGACTCATTTTGGTTTACTCACCAGCAAAGGGGGAACCAAGTATGTATCAGAAATTCCTGATGCACCAGGGGACCTTACCAAAGTCTTTGTCCTTTTTTTCACTTAGGGCAAGAAATTCAAGCCCTTTGTTTTCCATGGCCCAAGAGAACTAGCCTGCCCCAAAGTCAAAATGACCAACCTATGAAGGCCCGAGGGTTGGGTTTTTTTTTTTAAAGCCTGAATCGGGTGATATCTTCATGCTGACAGCTGAGAAGCAGGTCAGTCGGGTTTTTAGGTGCACTATTACACAAGAAAGACACAGCCAGCTCCACCTAATTTTGCTTCTCTGGCACCCTCCTGCTCAATGGGACATTGTCACACTTAACCCATCTGTGTTCTCTAAAGCACGGCAGGCTCATTCCAGCCAGGACAGCTGGGATATTTTAGTTCCTGTTTGTAAACAACCTCGGGACCTGAAGGTAAGTGTGTGCTTAGTCAGTAGGATCCCCCAACCTCGTTCCTCCATTCCTCCCTCTCTCTCTCTCTCTCTTTCTCACACTCACACACATTCTCTCCAATCTCTCTTTCATTTATTTACCAAAGATAATCAAAGCAGGCTCAACTTTTGATGGAGCAGTCTGGCAAGTAGCTACGGAGACTCTTATAAAAACAGGTAGTTGTTTCATTAGTAATTACCTTCCAAAGGAGCATTTGTGCTGTTCAGTGAGTTAACTTTAAGAATTATTGCCAAATTTGCTAGACAATGAAACCAGCTGAAGAGTTAAAGATAGAGTTTCCTTAGGTCATATTTAGCAAAAGTTTATCAAAATATTTAAAGTGAAAATAGTGGCATGAATATAAATAGAGTATTTAGATTTAAATTATGCATTTGGGCTTAAAGGTTCTTGCTAAAGTGTTAGATATTACAGTTTTTGAAAAAGCAATCTTCTAATACAATGAATTGCAAGCATACATATATATGCATACATACACATATATATATATATCTTTTCCAAAGATTTTCTTAATAAAAAAATGGCAAAATGTGTATATAATTATTTTACTTAGCATGATATGTGCATGTCTAACACTCATTGGAAATATAAAAAGCTAAACGTCATTTGCTACAGAAGACATTTCATGGAATGAAGATGTGAATAAAATTTCTTAAAATTATTTTCAGTCTGTGGGCTCCTTTTATTGAAGGGATGTCGATTTGCTGTTTACCCACTTACTGTTTGATCTATACAGGCTATTTCTACAGACAGTAAAACACAATAGAAGACTGAAAACCACATGCTTGAGAATTTGGTGAATTTGGGTCCAGAATATTTCTTTTGGAGACAGTCTTTCTAAGGCTGACACTTTTCCACCTGATTATTATTTCAGTCCTGAAGTTTATGACTGAAAACACCCAAATTAGGGATTATGGCACTCTATATATTTTTTCTGGATTTATGACTCTTCAATCTTTATATTAGAGTGATGTCCACAAACTTTTGACATTTTTTTTTCTGAAGGAAAGTCATGTTTTTATTTTCATTTTCTTTTTTATTTCTTTTTAAATCAAATAAAAGGGAAACAAAATGCCTAAGATCCTCAGGTACAATCCTCCTTTCTAGCTAGTTAAGTCTTCTCACTCTTTCAAAAACCTCTTATAAAAGAAGCATTTCTAAAATCATGATTTAGTATGCCTTCCTTTACTGGGGCTCTTTCATTTAAGGAAAACAAAATATTGTCCAAGATTACTATCCAGAGTAATACTCAAGGTCTGCCTGGGATATGGGCTACATGTCAGACTGAGTTTCCTATAACAAAGACAGACAAAACCTATATGTCTTCTTGTGTAGTCTGAGATCTATAATAAGACAAAATCAACTAAGAGAAGTAGCACAATGTATTATCTGTAGGTATTTCACTAGGGAAACGTGTGCCTGAACTCAAGTTTTTATTTAAAATATCTTTCATTTATTTACCAAGATCAAATCAAAGCAGGTTCAACTTTTATATTACCTCATGTGCTTGAACTAAAGTTTTTATTTAAAATATCTGATTTTGGTTGAGTTTAGAATGACTGGCATTCCTCTGAGATGGACTGATTACCTGGCACAAACAGGGCACCTCTTTTTTTTTCAAAGCTTGTTATAAAATGAGTATGTCTCAGATACAACTGGAAGGCTGGGCAGAATAATTGTGCATTTAAAGGACAGCAGACTTATGCACAGAGTGGTTTGGCTTCCCTTAATGGTCACAGTTGTTTTTCTTTTTTTCCCTCTTTTACCACCTCCTGCAGCCCTCCATAGAAAAGCAGTAATGTGAAACCACTTTTCAGTGGCAACACTAAAGACAGGGAGAAGTAGTCTTTGTTTTCTCTGCATACAGGTATTATTTAAATCCACAGTGAAACTCATTTTAAAAGTTGTTAAATACTAGAAACAAACAAAAAACATTTCAATATATACAGAGATGTTTAAAGTCTGTGTTTAAAGTATCACAAAGTAGATGGAAATCCTCCAATTTCTAGTCCCTTTATACTAACTCCTATCTTATAAGTTTTTCAAGTCTGTAATGATCTTAGCTCTGTTTCTATGTCGTACCCTCAAAATTCCTCTTAGGAGTTCCCACGTTGGGGCAAGAAAGGGGAAAGAATAGGAGAGAGAATGATGCTACCTGGTTCTCCTGATTTTCTCTCCCTGCATAATTTCACTTTTCTTTCATCCCACCTTCTGTCTGCTTGGTTGACAGATGAACTTGGGCACACATACAAGCATGCCATCTATCACCCAGTATAACTTTAGCTTTATATAACAAATATATAAGACAGTTTAAATATTTAAACTCTAGAGCTGGAGAGTGGAAAAGAGGAAAATGCAGAGAAAGAGTACAGAATTCTTTTATTGTCCTCTGTACCACCTCCATTAGTCTTTGCTATTTACAAGATGATTTGTTCAATTCAGAATGGGGTCAATCTTCACCAAATTGCCTAGTTCTTGCTTTAGCAAAGTCCAGGACTGAGGTTGTGAACAGCTGATGTCTTCAATTTCTGGCTGCTTCTATCCCTTTAAGATGAAGGGACCTTTAAGAGGTATAAATGACTTCTCTTAGAAGCCAGGTGGGGAGCAGAAACAAAGTTGTCCTCCTGCCATGCCTGGACAACTGGAATAGACCAATATTCACAAAAGCCTTACCCACAACTGTATTAATTTTGGACTAAACTGCAAATAGTAGTCAACATATCATCTCATTCCTCTCTTCCCTTTTTCTCTTTTCCCTGGAGATAAATTATATGAAGAAACAGAAAGCTTGGGCTCACTTGGGGTATTGATTCCTTAGGTTTTCAAGTTACAACCAAAAGTTGGTTCAAGGGTAGAGGGATTCCCTTGGTGGTTCAATGTTACACACAAAGTGAAGCAGGAACAATAGAACTCACTTTGTTGACTCATGATGTGTGGGTTCTCATTATAGGAAGCTCGATGCCACGTTCCTCATGGAACATTTTAAGAAAAATAAAAGAACACTAAGGGGCATTTTTTTCCCTTCTGGTGACTACTTTATTAGGAAGAGAAAATAACTAGAAAACCTAGGCATAGGGAAAGCAAATCAAACTGATTTGATGTCAGGTGGCTGAGTATAATAAAATACTCAGATCACTGACAGTAGATATGAAAAAGGCTTTATGTTTGCTATAAACTTGACAGAGTTCACAGGAGAAAGATGTTTCTGAGAAAGGTACATGGAAATATTTTTCAACTAAATTGAACTGTATTTGAAATGTGTTATTTTATATTTTAAACTTAATGAAATATTGGTGAATTGTAGGTTCTGGAGATAATCACTCCTGTTGTGTTAATGTCAGTTTGTGAACTACATGGTGAAGGTGTCCATCTAGAACCCGTAGAAACAATTTGGGGATTTTCTTAAAGTAGAAATGAATATTTGGGGTGTTTGTGAGGTACTGCCTGCCTTGCTTTTTAAGTAAAATTTTCTTCAGTGATAAACATAGGAAATAGAAGATGGCGTCTCTCTGAAACCTTGGAATCCTCAGTATGTACTGCTTGCTAAAAGCTTTTGAAGAAAAATCTTATATTAGGATATATTACAGATACATATAAGAAAACATTAAGCAAGGGGGTGGGGCATTTAAAGCCAAAAGATAATCAGAGGAGTATGCACAGGTTCCTCAGACCCTAATGAAAAATCACCAAGGTTGAAAATAATTGTAAAACTTCTGAGAGAGTTTTTAAGAAATGTTAAGTAATACTGCACTTAACTAATAGCAGTTGTACCTCCTCCCTGTTCTTATCTGTCAACTGGGAGGCTTCTAATGAAAATAAGCTCTATGGTCCTATCTGAAGAATATGAAATCAGTTTTCACACTGACTGCTTGAGGAGTGATAGTCTGAGGCTTTTTTAAGAATTTTTTTTCAATTAAAAATACTTTAAATTTTAGCACTTAGGTTGGAGTCAGTAGACTTGGCATTCAGTGCTTTTTCATTCAGTAGTTTCCATTATTAGCCACTCTGAACCTCAGTTTCTTCATCCACAAATGAAGCTGGTTTTTTTTTTAGTCTCAGGGATCACTGTGAGGATTAAGTGGGATGATATTGTAAACTTTATGGACTATGATACTTGTAGAAATATTATTGTGTTTTAATAAGAAGTAGAAGTTAATGTTTGTTAACTGCTTTCTTAAGGCCAGATATCACTCAGATTACTTCTACTTAAATCACTACATTTAATCTTCAAAACAACAAGGTGAAGTCAGTATGATTATTATTATGATGAGAAAGCAACTGATTATTATGATGATTGTTTTTATGGTTATTTGTGGCAGAAGCCAGAATTTTAATGTAAATCTAATTTCAAAACCTTTCCCCCAAATCCTCCTGTCTCTGCATTGTGGCACTTCCACACTTAAAAGGCAAAATAATGTGCCTGGAATGGAGGTCAAGACTACAGTTTCAACCCCCAACTCTACAACCATCTAGCTATGTAATTTTTCTCACAAATAATCCAGATTCTTCATCTATACAGTAAGGGAATACAATTAGAGACTGTCCTAAAATCTAAATGTCTTTCTTGGGATTAATAGGAAGAAGGGCCCTGTGAAGTGAGAAATATTGTAAAAAAGGGATATTAATTTCAAATTCAAGAAAACTCAAACTAGGTAATAAAATGTTTTCAAGTGGAGTTCCTGATAGACTCACTTTTAAATGGTGTGTTTAGTATATAATCAGTTACATCATTTTTATAATAAATATGTTAAATTGTATATTTATAAAGAACATGATTTTAATAGGTTGAAGAAATCATCCAGCTCTACATGCTCTACATTTACAGTATTTTTAATTTTTACTTAGCAGTACATATAAAATAGTCTGTGTGTGTGTGTGTTTTCAACTTGTCCCAAGCTAAATAATCTTTGAAATAGTGCAATAGTGATGTCTGGATTGACAGTTTCCCCATGGCATTTCCCTAGAAGAAAGAAGAAATATTATATAGAAAATAGCACCCAGTGACTCTAGTTTCGTATGGAATCCCAAGAAAACAAGCTTTTAGAATAGTTTACTGTATCATCTCAACTTTATGTATGTCTCTAGATTTTTATCACTTAAAAAATGTAGATCCATTAAGAAAACTTTCATACTTCATTTAATAATTCAAATGGTTGCTATTTTCTTTCAGATTCCCCTTAATCACATCAAAACCAAAGAAGGCTACCATGCTGACCTCAGCCAAAATTCTGTTGATTTCAATTTTATTTAGTTTACTACTGTTTGGAAGCCATGGAGGAGAAGTTCTAGAAAAAAACAGAACACAAAGCATGGCAAAAGGCTTAAAAACACTGGAAAATGAATCTGTTCCTTTGGAAAGTGAAGCAAATTTAAACTCAGATAAAGAAGACACAGAGACCTCCAATCCCAAGACAAGAAATTTCTCTTTTTGGGATCCATCAAATAAAACCCATGGGACAACAGATTTTTTTGATAATTTGTCATCATACAACATTTCTGTGCATCCAAGGCCCTCACCCATGACTCCTGAAAGCCCTCCCTTGATCCACAGCTTTGTTTCTAAATTACCTTTGAACTCATCTGTAACAGCGCATCCCAACATTACATCTGCCAGATCTCCAGAAACGTTTCCTTGGCCTTTGGCTAATGATACCGTGAAAACTCTTGACAACGATTCCATTACAGTTGGCATGCTCCCTCCAGCACGGAACACCGCGTCTGTGAAACCCACGACAGGAGCAGATGCATGGCTCACCACACCCCGTGGCAGTGATACTCCCTATCAGGAAACAACTCCACAACCCACCCTAAAATTTACTAATAATTCAAAAATCTTCCCAAATACATCAGACCCCCAAGAAGGTAAATATAAGTGAATTTAACTTTACTTTTGTGTAAAACTGAATCTCCAGGTAAGTCATATAGATTGCATCTAAGGAATGAGCCATATTGAAGAAAAGGAGTAGACTTGATAGCACAACTGGTTCTCACTTCTGGGGGCAACCATGCATGAGGGATTCTAGGCTGAAGCCCAGATACACTACTTGTTACTGAGAGGAGTGCGATGAGACAAGGGGGCAAATGAGAAGTAGGTTAGGTTGCCAAGAAATAGAGACTGAGGGAGTGGTACAGTTTTGACTAACAATTTTCACTAAATCTTAGAAAGACCTAGAAATTCTACATGCTTTTATGAATACTATACAACTGAACTTTAAAAATGTATGTGTATGAATTTTGAACACTGAATGAAATAAGGGAATTTATAAATTACCTGATACCACAGTATCATGGGAAAATAGAACACTGCTTTATTTTTAAAAATCTAAATAAACTCAATAAAGAGAAATACTCCTTAATTTTTGGTTTTGTACCTCCTGAACACCATAAAAATGGAATTTAGCAGTATCACAAGAAAATTATATCATGGGGACATTTTTATGTTTCATTCAGGGATTAGGTCAAGCATCAAAACAAAAGTGGAAAAAATATCTAGTATTTAATGAAAATTCTTTATGTTTTTTCAGATCTCACCATGTTTTTGGTTCCCTGAAATTTTAAAAAATACTTTTTCCTCTATGAACTCACTGATTTCTAATATAACTTAGAAATTATATTGATGATGTAAACATCAAACCATATATACAAATTCCTATTTGGAGGTTGTTGCTACTGTATAGGAAAAGTTTTAAATTTTGAAAATTAGGTTTTATTATAAAGCACTGTCACCAATATATTGTGTACACATATATTTTCATTTTTTCTATAGATTTAACACATTTTTCATTCATGCATTCTTTGATATTCTATCAAAACTATTTAAAAAGTATTCTTTCTCTTTTGTCTACCTAAATCCAATATACATATTGAAGATTCTGAATACGTACTCTTTCCATTGGTATTTACTCAAAATAAAACTTGGTTAACCTGTTTTACTTTAATTTTAGTAATAATTTTGCTACGCATCTGTTCTCTATGTGCAAGGTATTGTAAACATCATGCTTTGGTCTATTTGTTGTACTTGGAAATAATCTCGTATCAGAATATATTACTTTTTCCTTATGGTGCCTTTGCACTTGGGGTTTTCTGGGTCCATTTTCTATTACCCACTTATTCCCATTAGCTTTTTACTTTTGAATTAGTATAACAAGCTCAAAAAGTTCATTTCATCATTAAAGTTCATCAGAAATTCAGAGCTGATAAAAAGTTTAACATAGAAATTATATCTTAAAGGAATACACATGGCATTTCCATACTATTGGTATTAATAAGTAATGAGACACAGTTATAAACTAAGACTTAGAAGTACCTCAAGGTAATCCAAAATTTTAAGTGTGGTTTTATCAGGAAGTATATTTGCCAATATATCCCAAATACTCAGTAGTTGATTAAACACACTCCCACACAAAACTATCATTATTCTTGAATTAACAAAAAAACTCTTTGGTATATAGAAAGTACACAAACATATATTTCTGATCCTGAATAATTATTTTCTATTCCTTATCTGTAAATTATTTTTTCTTTTTTCTCTAGAGAATAGAAATACAGGAGTAGTATTTGGGGCCATTTTGGGTGCTATCCTGGGAGCTTCATTGCTTAGTCTTGCTGGCTACTTGTTGTGTGGAAAAAGGAAAACAGATTCATTTTCCCACCGACGACTTTATGATGACAGAAACGAACCAGGTAAAAAGAAATTTTGGAACTTCACTGGCACACAGTGGTTTTCGTTAAGTGAGGATGCTAATGTTCACTACACTCTGTAGAAGGGATTCAGAGATTCAATAACAGAAACAGATTAAACATTTATTCTGACCTACTCTTCTTTCTCAAAGAGTATTACCAAAATAATTATGGACCTATGAGTGAAATTTAAAAACCAATGGAACTGTTGCTCATTGCATCACAATTAGTTTTTAAATGATAACCTCAGAACCTATACAATTGGAAGATACTGGTATGATGTTAAGAAAAAGAATGGCCAGTTTTGTTAGCAAGTAATTGCAGAGCCATTCTTTGCCATTGTTGGATCTCCTAGTAGTAATTTAAACAATTTAATCTGTCAGTCTTCTAAAGTTTATACAGATACAGTAGCCCTCTATTAATCATCTTAATGGCTTTCTAAAACAATCTCTAAAGAGTTGCATATTTAGGTATGCAAAGTCACAAGATATATTAGTTCAGGAATTTTCCACTCATGTGATGGAAAAGACCTACCATGATATCTGTGAATGAGAAATGTATCTGCTGAGAATAAAGCACTGACTTTGATCTTAATAATATGGTATTAATTAGAACAGAATAGAATCACTTCAAATGCTTGAGTCTTCTCAGGAAATGAAATCTGTTTTGGGGTTTACAAGGAACTCTTATTTCCATAAAAAATAGTTAAATGTCCCTGGATGATCCCATTGATAAGGTCTTGTTGATTTTGAAAAATTTCAGATCATGACTGACATATTGTTCATATTCAGAACAAAATCCATTAATTGTAAATTTAACTGAATCCTGTTTATGGGTTTCTAGAAATCTACGTAGAATGAAAAATGGCACTTTTCAAAATTAAAGGAAAAGATTTCAAACAGGGGTCCCCAAGCTCATTTTTTTAACCTCAGAATCTTTATTTTAAATCTGTAATCACAAGCAAAATCTCAGTCTATCAAACTGATACAATCTAAGATGTTGTGACTGAGGAATAGAGAATAACTCAATCATTCCCCAACCCCCCCGTTGCAGGATATGAGAATACATAATGGAATAATTAGACTACTAATCTGATTCCTAATTGGTCACTGCTTTAGTATTAAATGATACCTTGTACATGCCAAGTTTTCTTTGAAAATAAATTCAAGACCATAATGAAATAATAATTAACTCTTTGTTGAAAAAGGAAAAGAAAAAAATCTCCTATCATTAATCAGAAAACTTCAGATGAATGATAACTTAAATCTGTAAGAAGAAAACACAAGCTTTTACAAATAGTTTTCTTCTAACTCAATTTTCAATGGCTCAAGAATAAAGATATTGAAATACTTGGCAAATAATGATATTCATCTTCAAATTAATGCTTTTCCCTTTAGAAAAATATATCTTTTATAACAGAAGTAAAAATTCTGAATATGTTAACAAGGCTCTGAATTTGCAAGATTCAAAAGTCAGTGAGATGTATGTCTATATTTCTTGATACAAAGTATTGCTATATTTTTGTTGTGATTTCTCCTTTAGTTTCTTTTTTTTTGATCCACCAGCAGTGAAATTTTGGAAATTAAACTATTCACTTAGTCTTACAAAGAAATGTGGCTTGGAAAATATCTACTTACTTAAAATTTCAAAACTAATACCTGAAAAGCTCATATAAAAGATGGACCTATTTACTCATGTAGAACAATTTCTACAGTCTGGCAGGTGCCTGAGTAAGCATTTTACAGACTGTCACTACAAAACATTTTCTTTTGTTACTCTTTTAGTTCTGCGATTAGACAATGTACCGGACCCTTACGATGTGAGTTTTGGGAATTCTAATTATTACAACCCAACTGTAAATGATTCATCCTTGCCAGCAGGCCAAGAAAATGCACATGATGGCATTCCTATGGATAACATACCTCCACTTCGCACCTCAGTATAAAACTATTGGATTCAGATGGCAAAACGTTTGCTTACATACTGACCTTTCCACAAACCCATCTTCCTAAAGCTGAAGCAAGATCACTGTCATGTGGTTAGTGCCAAGGAGAACTATTAAAGTATGAGGCTAGGAGCAGAAACCTAGAGAGGATAAATCACCCAGAAGGTTTCCTTTCTTACCATTTTGGTTGTGCTGAAACATCTATTGAGTAATTTGTATTTTGATTTTTTTTTCCTCAGTAAGACATGTTTGTGGAATTAGATAAAACTAAAAGATTTCATCTTGATTGCCCTGCCTGATCATCTAATCAAAAATCTTTCAACAAAAATAAGAACACAAAACTACATTTTCCATTTGTTTGTACAAAAAACAGTGGATTAACTCTTCACTGTCCCTGCTGTTGTCCTAATGCCTATTGTCAAGATTGGCATTCTCCTGAAGGAAAACTAGAAATGATTTTTTTTTTGAATTTTTGCTTAAAGCAAGGAGAGTATAGCACAGAGCTTCTGTTCCTGTGAAATTAAGGTAATGCGGGTAAGAGACCTGTATTCTAGTACATTTCACATTTCTGTATCAGCCCATACATGGTCAGCCCCTTGAGTTGCCAAGTTTACAATGACTTTGCATTCAAGAAGGCCACTGTCGGAAAGCTGACCCTAACCAGGAAAGTAATCACTTCTCTTCAGAGGGAGAGGATCCTAGCCCATCTGATTTAGTCTAGGCTTCAGTAATTGTGTGCTCTAAAAACTCGATGAGAAAACGTGAAAACTTTAGCCAAAGCATATGCCTATACATAACTTTCAAGATGTCACATGGGAACAAGATTTATTATGTATTAGACATTGCTTAATCACATATGGGATAGATTCTGCATCTCTAAAGAAATTCTGCATAAGACTAAAAAGTAGATGAATGGAACTATTAAACAAATGAAAAGCTTTCTGAGCATCATTTTCACAAGTGTGAAAATACAGGAAGCTTAATTTGGGTTCTAGTATGTGTCAGTTTTTAATTACCACCTGGTCATTTTGGGCAGAAAGAATGTACTCCTTAGTATAGGAAGATCAAGGCTTTAGGGATTAGAGGATTATATTAAGAATCAAATTCCCAAAGGAGCAGTGAATGTACAAACAAGCGATTTTATTGTTGAATTGATACATGGGGTGTGCATGTGTATGTGTGTGTGAGCACACACCTGTCTGTATGAAGAAATAGGGTAACTGTCAGAAAATGGGGGCTAGGAAGAAAGAAGGACATACTTACCCCATATTGCCATAAAAATAGCAAAGAAGACTGTCCCTCCATTATCAAATAAATATGTCACCTTAATGGGAAACAAACAAAAACATTAGTTACCTTGTTGGTTGTAATAATCCAGTGATTACTGTTTGCATTTAGGTACTATGCCTTTTTTCCTCAGTGGAATCCCATTATTTTATAGTTTATAATTATCAGATATGCGATCTTTTCATGGGTCCTGCAACTGTTTCACGTGATTTTTTTCATGGGTAGAGATAAGGGATTAAAAATTTCCCCTTTTCTTTCCTTTTCCCTTCTGTTCCCTTTGGATTCCACCTTCATTTATGCTTAGAAGTGGTTCTAGCTCCCAGAAGTGTCTGTGGGCCACAGATAGTCAAGCCACAGTTGCGAGCTGTAAGAAGTTAGAGACATGCCCAGTTGCACTTCTCGTTAGCAGAATTTCCAGGCCTCGGGAAGGTCAAAATGCAGAATACCACCAATGAACCAGTACTTCCAACAGGAAGTATTGCAGTGCTAGTCTTACTCTCTATACCTTTCAGAATGTGCCATGGGTGCAGTAGTGGCTATTTAAGAGGTAATGAGTACCATCTTTAAGTTGTTTTTTAACATGTTTCATAAATCACTGAACATTTAAGATAGAGTCTAAGTGATTTTGATCAGACATTGCTTGAAATTTGTAAGAACAAATGTACAGCTATATGATGTTATTGAATACAATATTCAGGGTTGCAAGATTGTTTGATTTTTATAAAATGTAAATTCAATTTGCTTTTGCTTCTTTTCATTTGCATAATGTCACTATCTTGATAAATAAGTGAGGGAGATTAAAACAATACAGCCAAGGCAATATACGTTTGGCAGTCACAAAAATACCACAGACACTAGAGAAAATAAGGGCATTATCCTCACAGAAGAGACAGGTGTATTAGGGGTTCAAGAGCTTAGTAAAAGGGAAGTGGAGTAGAATGGTGTCTTTGCTCAGTCTACAATCTAGAGGCTGTTCAATGGGACATTAAAACACTAACGTGTATTTTAACATCTGGAATACATTGTAATACAATATGTAAAACATAAAGGTAGGATGTATTTTCCTATACTGTAGCTTTATTAAAAATGTCATTATATGAAAGATGTGTTCCTTTTGAAGGTTTATGGATAGGTGCAAGATGTCCTAAATGGTTCTAAAACTACTGATTGTTATAAGGATTGAGATTTCTAAAAATGTTGTAAGACTTGGCTTTTACAACAATCATTAGTATATATTATGTACAGGAAAGAAGAGGATCAGAAATAAATTCTCCTACAGAGCTCATAAAATTACTCCCAGCAGTGGAATCCAGGTTTTTTGTTTCGAAACGCATCCCACAGAGAGACCTGCTGCTGCCAAGCAGCTGAACAGCTGTCTGCTTCCTTTATAAACAGACCTAGTATAGGAAACAGAAGGTTAGAACAGAGACTTTACAAGTGGGGACTTAAAGGTCACCAAGAAATAATGGCTCTCCCCTGCTCCAGAAGCAGCCTTGCTTTTAGAAAAGTGGTACATAGAAAGCCATACTTAGCAACAGTTTTGTTGCATGGACATGGTTTGTCACAGTTTATGCAATATTTTCTCTAAAAATGCTTTCCCTTTTTTTTCTTGTTAGGTTTGTTTACAAATCTTTCAGGCATTTTTTAACTCCATGCAATTAAACATTAACTTTTTAGAAACACATCCTCAAGACTCAGTGAGGTAAACATGTAATATTCATGTAATGTGACATTACTTACATGTAGGGGAGATAAAGCTAGAATGGGAGTTAGGGAAGACATCAGAGCTGGCCCTTGGGAGGAATGTAAAAGTATCAAACATTGTGTTCAGTCCCCTAAACTATCACTTGTGGGATGTCTTATGGGAAACCATGGAGACAGCAATTAGAAGCCTGTAATTATAGCTTGAGTTGCTAAGGGCTTCATTTAGGGGGGCTGATGTAAGAGCTGCAAATGAAAATAGGGGAGAGGGAGAAGTGATGTTCAAGCACAATGTGTATGGCTCAAGGTTAGATCATAGGTGACTGTCAGGAAAATAAAAGGGAAGAGGCCTTTGCCTAATAGGAAAGGAATATTGGCTCTATAAAAGAAAACTCCAGACGAAATCTCAAGAAAATTCCAAAGCAACGTAATAGATTTGTCAAAAGCCAAAAGAAGCTTGCCCTATCTACAAACATATATAAGCAATGAATTATTTTATTAGAAAAATAGCTTATCCTTATGTATAGAGGGACCAATGGACAAGCATTTTATTCAACAATGTTAATGTGAGTCGGAATAATAGCTAAAGACAGAAGCAAACTGAGTTTCAAACAAAGCTGTGTTTAAGCACAAATTCTCCATTATCTTGGATTCTGATTTTTCTTGGAGAGGTCAAGGTGGCTAGAACTCAATCAATGTGGGTACTGTTTAAGGAGATAAATTTTTTGTTAGGTTGGAAACTTAAAGTCAATGTCTCCTCTACTGGAGTTGCTAGCCTTCCCTCTAAAATTGTTTTATGGGTTCAGAAAAACATAAAGCTCCAGAAATGGCCACTTATACTCCATTAAAGCCCCTCTGGGCTAAGGAGAATAATTGCCTCTTGGGCAAGTTCAACCCTGTGGACCAGGATATTGCAGGAGATGAGGGCAGGAAGTCAGAATTTAGGCTGGAGTTCAGTGTGTTCTCACTTTCTAAATCCTTAATTCTTGGACAGAGACAAATCTGAATAACCACCATGTCCGCTGGACCTCACACATCAAACATGGGAGCTTCATTAATCCACCCCCACTTCCACCCTGACCAGGTACTTACTTAGGGCAATATCTTTTCAAAAGGTGGTCCTAGGAATCAGTATCACCTGCAGAGCTTGTTAATATGTGTAGTTCTAAGCTGCACCCTTGACCAACTGATTCTGAATTTCAGGAATCTGTTTTAAAAAAAATGTTCTAGGTGCTTCTGATGTATGTCTTGTACCTACTCTTCTTTGCAGTTTCTTAAACACCATCTGACCTATTTCTGTTATAATCTCAACATCAGTATACAGTCTGAGGTTCATACTAGGTATTGAATACATGCTTGTTGAACAAGCAAAAAGCAAAAAAAAAGGAAACTAGTACTATTGTAAATAAGGCCAAATTCAAGGGTTGAATCACTTTTAGAATTATATGAAAAAAATGATGCAGTACCCTTCTATCTAATGATTTTACCTTAAATGAGAAATCCTAGCTTCATGAGAACTGAAGCATGTTGTCCTTTTAAATGAGTATAAATATCACTGAATTACTTACTTGCAATAATTCCTCAATTCCCATATTTTTAAGTGTTAAAATTAGTCATCAAAGAAAATGTTTATGTACTTAAATATGATTTTTCCCATGGGACAGAAAAAATTTTTTTCCATGAAACACCTCTTGGAAATTATTAAGGGAATAATTAGTCGGACACACATATACTTATTTATGGCAAATTTAATGTCTTGTTACTTGGTGCAAGTGGTGATTAACTCCATGAAGAACCGACAGCTTCCTAGGAGACGTTACTATGTTATCACGTGACTTGACGATCCTAGCTGGATTGGTGTTTTTCTTTAGTAAAAATTTGCTCACTTATTTCTGACACTGCCTATCAGGTAACTTCTAGATATTTAAGTATATAAACTGATACTAAATGAGAATGGTTTATTTCCATCCAATGAAGAAAGAGTAATTTTAATTTTTAAGGCGTAAAACAAGTAGCTACATTTTATCTTACCCAGAGGAATACATGTTAAGTCATATTAAATATTTCATCTTGGTGGGTTTATTTCTTGTATTTTTCCATAAGGCAATATTTTTCTCTGCAAGCTAACTTTCCCACCTTCCTTATAATATTTATTAAGTGAATTATTTCTGTCATTCATATCCCTATACATATCTTTTCTACTGGGAAAAGGAGGGAGGCAGGTACTGCCTGATGACAAAGACCCCTAGATTTATTGTTTCTTTGGACAGTTTCTTCACTTTATCACTTTGCCCTTTGTGGATGTTACCTTTAGTGCCCTTTGTGGGTTACCTTTAGTGTTCAGATAATGCCAGTGTGTTTTATAAGATTTGTCCTAGTAAAAGTCGAAGCAACATATACATATGGATTTGTTGGTGTCCCTAAGGCTGTCATATGTCTTTGAAAAGCATGGGCTAAAGGAGGAACATATGCATATACATCTAATAACTGATACATTGGCTGTTGCAAAAAGGGTTAAGAAAATGCTTTCCCAAACAAGACATCTTTGTGGAACATTTAAATGAATTTAAAAATAAATGTATTTTAGAAACTAAACTATAAACAAAACAGATTTTTCCTATACCATGCATTCAGGATAAATAATTCAGGAGTCGATTTTATTAAGTTTTGGTCTTGTAGTACAATACTGAATGGCTTTTGTGATTCTGTACCCAGCCTCATCAAAATTAATTGTATAAAGATCTCTACTTCTAAACAAGATGGAGTAACAGAGATAGATTTACCTCCATTATTCATTCAATGCACAAAATATACCTGAGTAAAGAACCACCTAAAAGGATTAGAGGTACCAGTGTCAGCTCACACAGAGTTAGGAATAACGCCTATTCCCACCAGCACGACTGGTCATCCTCATTATTCACAGTGAATTGGGTAGAATACACAGAAAGATCTTGCTCTTATTCTAGGGAAAAATTAGTGCCACATGGAGCACTGTCGTGAACCCATCTCACAATCTTAAAAGCAAGATTCAAAAGGATCAAATTATTTTCAAGTAGCTAAATCACAATGAGAGGTCTCTACACATCTATTAGAATAGTTAGAAAGACTGACCATCCTCAGGATTAGTGACTTTATGGAAAACTGGAACTCTGACACCCTCATGCTAATGGGAATAGTAAAATGGTATAAAGACTTTGGAAAACAGCTGGGCAGTTTCTTAGAAGGTTAACATCCACCACATAATCTGGCCATTTTACTCCTACGTATACCCCAGAAAAATAAGTACTTGTTTATACAAAGATTTGTAGATGGCCATTTTACTCCTACGTATTTACCCCAGAAAAATAAGTACTTGTTTATACAAAGATTTGTAGATAAATACTCATAATAGCTTTATTAAAAATGATAACAACTCAAAACAACCCCAAAATCCATTATTAGATAAATGGATAAAAATACTCTGGCATAGCCATATAAGGCAATACTACTCAGCAGTAAAGATAAAATCTACTGATAAATGTTACAACATGGATGAATCTCAATATAATTATGCTGTGTGAAAAAAGCCACAAAAAATCACACATTGTATGATTCCATTTACATAAGAATCTAAAAAATACAACCTTATCTATAATGATAGAAAGCAGTCTGTTACTCAAGCACAAGGCTGGGTCTGGGGAAGGTTAGAAAGCAGGGATTACAGGAGGGCTTAGGGAAACTTCTGGAAGTGATGGATACATACATTATCATCATTGTGGTGACGATTTCACAGAACCATACATATCAAAATGTATCAGTTTTACACCTCAAATATATACATTTTATATGTTAATTATACTTTAATAAAACCATTTTACAAATAAACAGAAATTGTAAAATTCAATTTTTCAAACTTGTATGCACACTGGAATCACCTGGGAAGTTTAAAAAATATATAGATGGCTGCATTCCAAACTCAAAAATTCTGTTTTAATTGTTGTGGGTTATAGCTGGGACTTCAGGAGTTGAAAAAAACCCTTCAGGTGATTCTAATAGGTAGCAATTTGAGTTGTGGTATGTTATTTCATCATCTCTGTAAAATTTGAATTATCTTAATTTTATAAGTCTTCATGGAATATGAAAATTTAATCATTAGCATCTGACTTAATCATCTAGGTTTCATTCCAAGTGGAAGTTTATGTCTATGACAGAAATAATCAGTTATAAAAACAAAGGAAAGCGAAGATGTTCAAATACACATATATTTGTTTGTAACTGCCACAAAATGATATTTTGTTCGGTTGTCAATGATATTGATTGTTGAAACTCTTGGAGACATAGAAATTTAGTGAAAAGCAATATCCCGGAGGACTTCTTACTACTGTCTCCTTAGAAAACTTAGAGCTCATGGAGCAGAATGTGTGGGTTCACACTCACCTTGGCATAGATGCAACTGTCATTGAGTCTCTGCAGTGAGCAGTTCTTGTCACAGAGAGGGCACATGAAGACTTCAGTGGCCATGCAAATTTCTTGGCTTGGGAATTCAAAGAAGAAAAAGCAAGTATGAGCCTCCACATTTAGAAAGGTGCTTACCCCCGTATGGCCAACACTGAGGAGTACTGGCAAGGCAAGAGGAAAAGAAGAAATGTAAACACTGGGGAGTGGTGGGCAGGTGAGGAAGAAATAAGGACTCCAACTCAAATTTGTAGGATATTTGTACACAGAGATTATTGTTTGCCTCTTTGTTTTTAGAAACTCTGCCAAGATATTGTAATTATTATAGCCCATATTTTAAACTTGTGAGACACTTAAGGGGCTTTGCTACAAAGCCACTTTTACACATGATTTCTTGGCATGCAGAATAATCTTGTGAGGAACACCCAAGGGGGTTTTAACCAAGCTCCCAGCTTTGCAAGTGGCTGAGCTGGAATCAAATCTGACTATTCTGATTTTTCAAGTCCATTGATCTTTTCCTGGGATCTTGTTGCCTTAGAATCACCATAATGAATAGCATTTTCGTAACTCATACAGCTTCAAAACCCCGATGCAGTCAATCAGTGCAGTATGTTCTTTGGAAATGCGAGGGAATTGATTTTTATTTTCAGTGCCTTGACACACACTGTCCTAATGACATGACATAGGTTTTATTTACTGAAATATATTCTGTATTAAAATATAACTATGTAATATTTGTCTTCAGTTTTAAAAAATCTCAGCATATATTACAGCTGACTCTTTGACGAGAAGGGCACCATTAACAATTTCCCAAAAGTCTTCCAGCCTGAGAGTTCATAGCAACCTATTTTTAATGTTTTATGCCTTTATCTGTCAGATGTGGCCCTTCCCCATTTAGTATCCCTGAATAAATTGTCTTTAAGTAAATCTGCTCTGGAAAAGTTGAAAGTAATTTAAAGGCTTTTGAAACTATGTATGGAAATGCAACTGTTAATAAAAATTTAATGGGTGGTATTTATAGTAAAATGTGCTATTTCAAAAATGTATACTCTAAAATGAAGCAAAAGAGAATGCATGTGTATTTCAAATACTGTATGCAATCTCAAGCCAAAGTGGGAATAAACAGTAAATAACAATATGATGTAGTAATACAGTGCTTTACAGTGGGTGAAGATGGGTTCATGCCCATTAAGTTTAGTACTCACTGCAATCTCCTGCAATAGGAATTATTTCTACAATTGAGAGCAAAGTAATGTTTAAGTGATTTATTCAAGGGCACACAGCTAACAAGAGGTGCTTCAGGGAACTGAGTTTAGATTTTTCTGATTTTAGCTCTAGTTTTCCCCCAACTATAACATATCTAAAAGAGGGATGTTTATTTTACATTAAATGAAACTTTACTATCAAAAATTAATTTATTAATGATGATATCTAATGGTTCTTATATATATATATACATACTGTAATTCTCCCTCTTTCGCACACATCACCTTGCTAGCAATCATTATGTCTACCAGAAGTAAGAGGAAGCAGATAAAACATAAATTTTTGTAGGAACAACAATTAACATCTTGAAGGTAATTTTGAATAAATGGGCTTATATCATAATTCACTGTGTTTCAAGAATGACACAGCAGGTCCTGCATTGAAATTTCATACTAAAAGGGCATTACAGCCAGTTTATACCGTATCATCTTTCTCACCTTCCAAAGGTCAAACAGAAGTACAGATCCATCAAAGCATCAAGTCTAGAATTCCAGCCATCAGCACTATTCTATTTTTAATTTCAGAATTATTAAACTCATTTAAGTTGCTCAAAGTTTAACTTGATATGTAATATAAAAAATACTAAATGTTTTTGACAACATAATTTTTTAGTCAAATCTATCACAAATTTCTTTGACTTTGCTTAACCACTAGAGGGAGAGAGATTGCCCAATGAAGGTATCTTAATTTTTTATAGCGTTTGATAATATAAACCACCACTTGAATTGTGGCTTTCTTTTTCAAATCTGTTTTTAAATATACACGTCAAGGGCTGATTTGAAGGAAATAACAATTGTCACCAGCTTAAGATAGTAGGAGAAGGGATCAAATTGTCCATTTGAGGCTAGTTGTCTGGACCTACTTCAGAGTTTTCATGTTGCCTGTGATCTGTTAACACAACAAAGCAAAGAATAGGATGCTTGGTGGTGTTCATTCTGGGAAAACGTGAAAATATGAAAGTAGTTTTTAGGGAAGTCAGTAAGGAGACATAATAAAGCATAGATTTTAGAGTCAGATATAATCATTAAGGAAAAGCATATCAAATCGCTAGATACTATTTCATCCCTGCTAGGATTGCTACTATCAAATAAAACAGGACAAAACAAAACAACAGATAACATGTGTTGGCAAGGATGTAGAGAATTTGGAAAACTTGTGCATTATTGGTGGGACTGTATAATGGTGAAGAAACTATGGAAAAGATATAAAGGTTCCTCAAAAAATTACAAATAGACTGGCAATGTAATCTGGCAATCCACTTTTGAGTATGACCTAAAATAACTGAAATCAACATCTCAAAGAGATCAAAGAGATATCTGTACTCCAGTGTTCATTGTTGTGTTATTCATAATAGCCAAGATATGGAAATAATCTAAATTCCCAGACAGGTGAATGAATAAAGAAAATATGGTATAAATATGCAATAGAAAATTATTCAGCCTTTAAAAAGAAGGAAATCCCACCATACACAACAACATAGATGAGCTAGAAGACATATGCTAAATGAAATAGGCCAGTCGCAGGATAAATACTGCATGATTCCACTTATATTAGGTATCTAAACAAACTAATAGAAAAGGAAGTAGAATGGTGGTTGCCAGGGGGTAAGAGGTTGCTATTCAACAGGTACAAAGCTTCAGTTATAACATATGAATATGTTCTAAAGATCTCCTGTACAATTCTGCCTGTAGTTAATGTTGTAGTGTGTACTTACAAACTTGTGAAGAGGGTAGAGCTCATGTTAAGTATTCTTACCACAATTAATAAAAATATCTGATGCAGGTTTGAAACTTATCTGACCACTTACTAGATATATTTCCCTGAGCAAGTCATTTACTTCTCAGAGGATCAATTTCTTCATCTCTAGATGGAGATAATGCCTAACTGAGATATTATGTAAGGGACATTGATAATATGCCTGGCACATCATAGGCACTTGATAAATGGAAGGAATCCTTATTGCTAAGGATGCTGTCAGGAACAGGTTTGGGAGATCCTTTAGGAAACAACAGCTTTTGAAAAGCTGTCAGTACTAAGGACCCATACATTCATTGGCAAATTCTAATGTCAAAGAGGCAAGAATTGGACCAGAAAGTCAGAGTTTCTGCTCTTTGCCCTGGACCTAAAACCCATTTTATTTACCTGATGGTTCATTTTTATACTCCTATGATACATGGTTTCCCAAACACAAATCTGAGCTCATTTGGTGTTAAGACCAATGAACACATGTAAGTATACATGTGTACAGATACATATAATAAAGAGTCTACAACTTGATTGTTACATAATTCTACAATTAACTGCAGGGTTTTTAAGACATATGACTTTAATTTACGTGAACAAACCTGGTAGAAACATAATAAATACAACCCAATCTCCAGCTTTTAACATTTTATTACTTTGCAATAGGCAAAAAAGAGCTTAATAAAGTAATATTAAAACAAAACAACACAACATAAAAGCCCTGTGTCCTCCTCCCACCTGCCTAATCACATCTCTAACTTCACTATGTCTGACACCCTGAATGGAAAATTTCAGCCCCATGAAAATTTGAAAGCCAAGATGTTCAGTGATGTTTATCTTCGTTTAGAATAGAAAGTCTGACAAGGTCTTAATTATAGTGTGACAGAAGTAGCAGTAATATAATACCATATAGCACTGAAGAAAAGAGTTTTGCTAATGCTTTTTAAAAACACTCCTTGTACTAAAGGTTAAAGCATATTTATCTTATAAAAAAGGAGCCTAATTTATTCAAATGGTACATAAATCAATAGGAATAGCTAATCTCTTGCTTTCACTGCCTTTTGTTAATTTTCAGCTTTGTAGGGATTGGGGTGAGATCTATACCACATGGAACCAACCTGAACAGTAGCTAACTGTCTAAGAATCATTTTTTGTCTTTATCAATTCATTGTAAAAGAGTGATTTTCTAAAACCCTAAAGGCTCCACCAAAAAACTGTTAGAATTAACAAATTTAATAAAGTTGCAGGATAAAAAATCAACACACAAATACCTGCTGTGTTACATCAAACTATTAAAAAGATAAAGTAAGAAAATAGTCTCATTTATAGTTGCACCAAAGAGAATAAAATACTTAGGAATAAATTTAAACAAGAAGGTTAAAGATCTATACACTGAAAACTGTAAGACACTGACAAAAGAAAGTAAAGAGACACAAATAAATGACAGGATATTCTGGGGCTAATGGATTGGAAGAATTCATATGGCTGAAATATACATACTAATAAAAGAGATCTCCAGATACAATGCAATCTCCATCAAAATTTCAATGGGGTTTTCACAGAAATGGAAAAAGCTATCCTGAAATTTGTATGGAACCACAGAAGACCCCAAATAGCCAAACCAATTGAGAAGCACCACAACTTCAAACAATATTACAAAGCTATGGTATTGGCATAAAAACAAACATGTAGATCAATGGAACAGAATACAGAAGCCAGAAATAAGCACATGTGTATGTGGTCAATTTTCAACAAAGGAGCCAATGATATACAATGGGGAAATGATAGTATCTTCCATAAATGGTGTTGGGAAAACTGGATATCCACATGAAACAGAATGAAACTGGACCCCTATATTATACTGTACACAAAAATTAACTCAAAATAGATTAAAGACTTCAATTTAAGATCTGAAACCATTACACTACAAGAAGAAAACATAGGGAGCAGTCTCCTTGAAATTGGTCTTATCAGTGATAGGATTTAACAACAAAGCAAAGGCAAAAAAAAAAAACAACAAAATAAAAATAAAGAAATGGGACCACACTAAACTAAAAACCTTCTGCACAGCAAAGGAGACCATCAATAAAATGAAAAGACAACTTACAGAATGGGAGAAAATATTGCAAATCTTATATATGATAAGGTATTAATGAAATCCAAAATAAATAAAGAACTCACACAACTCAATAGCAAAAAAAAAAATCTGATTAAAAAGGAACTGACTAGAAAGGCAGAAGAACTGAACAGACATTATTTTCAAAGGAGGCTTACAAATCAACAGGTATGTGAAAAAGTGATCAACATCACTGATTACCAGGGAAACGCAAATCAAAACCACAATGAGATAAAACCTCACATCCGTTAGAATGCCTATAATCAAAAGACAGAAGATAACAAGTGTTGGTGAGGATGTGGAGAAAAGGGAACTTTTATGTATTGTTGGTGAGAATGTAAATTGGTACAGCTGTTATGGGAAACTGCATGGAAGCTTCTCAAAAAATTAAAAATAGAACTATCATTATGATCCAGCAATTCTACTTCTGGGTATATATCCAAAGAAAATAAAAATAGGATCTCAAAGAGATATCTGTGTTCCCATGATTACTGCAGCATTACTCACAATAGCCAATATATGTGTCCATCAACAGATGAATAGATAGAGAAGGTGTGAGATATGTACAGGAATATTATCCAGTCATAAGAAAGAAGGAAATCCTGCCCTGTGTGTCAATATGGATGGGCATTTGGGATATTATGCTAAGTGAGGAAAGCTGACTGAGAAAGAAAAATACTGCATGGCAACACTTTATGTGTGGAATCTTAAAAAAAAGCCAAAACGTATAAACTGAGAATAGAAAAGCAGTAAAACAAAAACAAAAACAAATGTTTTTTTTGAAGACACTATGACTTCCAAATCACCTTTTTTCTTAGCCTCAGAGGTTACTGATTCAACAGCACATACAGAAATGCCCAGAGGGGAATGGATATTCCTAGGGGGCACAAGTTTGTGCAGAGTGGTAGTGAGATGAAAAGTTTCTGAACAGTAGATGTTTCTTTTTTGTCATGCTAATTGTCATTGGACCCTCATGAATAACCCAAATAAATCAAAGATGTTGGTTATGGAACAGGATTCAAATCTAGGATGAAGTATTTTGTTTTCAGGCAAAATTGTTATATGTATATAAAGAAAATTCAAGAAAATTAATTTTTATGATCACATTAGTTATCATGATTACTGCCCAGTAGCTAAGGCCATGGTTAAAAAATGGATCCAAGGAAAAAAAGTACTGAGCTTTGAAGGAGGAGAAAAGAGCTTTTTCACATTTTGAATTGTATCATACAAGGTTGAATCATACAAGGTTCTATTTAATGAACATGTTCTTAAGAGGATTCTTTAAGAGCAGGCTGACTCCTGTCTTTGCTGAAGAATAATGTATTGTTCCTGTATACAAATCTTGATTCATTTCAACTTTAGCAGAAGAACCACCATTCTGATGAATGGTGCAAATGTCTCCATCTGCACCATTCTGATGAATGTTTGATTTTTGTCAAATCTCAATTCACTACCATCTTCATATCTTAAGTTGATGATAAATAAGTTCCTATATGTGTTCCAATAGAGAATAAGAAGAATTTCATGTTCTGAGGAGAGGTGATTTCTTAGAGCAGGATTTATGCAGTATGAATATTTTGTTTAGACATCTTTAATTATGTAAGGTTCCCACTTCTGCAAAAAAGGAATACTCATCTCCAAAAAGGTTGTAGTGAAGGTTATATCAAATGAAACAATTTGAATGGTCTTTGTATATTGTCAGTGTTTAAAGTTGTAGCTATTATAATTATTTGAACTAATGATAGGGAATTCTAGAGCACAAACTATTATGCAAATGTAAATGATACAACACTATCTACTACATTGTTGAATTACTATGTGGGATATACCAGAAAGAGAAGTTTGGCATAAAGAGAAACAGTCTTAGAGCATATCTAAGAGTTTGAATTAAAGTATGGAATGACCTTTGTTACAGTGTTTCTCTTCTACCAAAATAAATAAATAAATTGTAGTACCATCAGTTGTTTTTTATTGTCAGGATTATCAGAAAGCTTTTGCCCAATCAGAAGAGAAAGGTCAACATTTAAAAATACGTCTGTTAATAGCTTACCTTACTTGACTTGCATTCATTGTTAATATTCCATAGAAGAAAACGCACAAGCCAACAACAGCTGCCGGAATCAGCATTCCAGTATACCATCCCAGCCAAGCAAAGTATAGCCCAATCTTCTCACCAAAGTATAGCCTAATGAAAATGCAAATCTTAGCTGAAGTCAACGAAAGTGACACTACAAATATCGATGTCACGTTCAGAATTTCTGATGGATACTTGAGGTTGCGAGCTCAGTTCTGCATCAGGTCCATCTGTAGTACCTTAATATTCCTGCTTGTTAATGAATATAATGATGGTGGTTAGTTTATCTTTAAACACTGTCATTATAGGGGCAATTTTATAAAGGGTTTACTTCTGTATCAAACTTCTTAGCGTGGCTTGTAAAGCTTTTCATAAGCCAGTTCTTGCTTTTCTCTATTCTGGTAGAATCTCCCCCCACCACCGCTGCAATTTTTTTCACATATGGAGTTGTGCTAAATCTACTTTTGCATAAATTACAAAAAAAGTTCACCCTCTAGGTGGATACTGAGAGCTGATTCAATGTCAGTCTCCATCTGCACCCCTGGCCAGACTTCCTTATGCTAGATACCATCCACATGCTTATGTCACATCTTCCTCAAAAAAATTCAACTCTGCAGTTCCTGAAGCACATCATTCTTTTCTTTATTATTATTATTAAGGTATCATTGATATACAATCTTATGAAGGTTTCACGTGAGCAATATTGTGGTTACTACATTCATCCCTGTTATCAAGTCCCCCCACCACATACCCTATTACAGTTACTGTCCATCAGTGTAGTAAGATGCTATAGTCACTTCTTGTCTTCTCTGTGAAGCACATGATTCTTCCCTTGGTTAATGCTATTCCCTCACTTTGGACTATTACATTTCTCCCTCTTCCTAGTACTTATCCTTCACTTTATCTCACTTCTTCAAGAAGCCTTTCCTGACTTCTACCTCAACCCTGGGTTAGACACCCCTGCCTTGTTCCCACATTGCCCTCATGTTTCAGTATCCTAAATGTTTCTGTATTTCAGTGACCTAAACTTAAAACATTTTATGCCAATTATCTGTCACACCTCCATCCCTCTTCCTCCCCATACAACTGCAAGCTGCTTGAACTTGGCTTGTGTCTTGTTTCACTAGCACGCACCACAGGGAGAACTGAAGGAAGCTAAGGGAATGGATGTATTTTACTTTCCTTTAGCTGATGAACATAGTCTATACGGAAATGACAGATGAGAAGGCAGTTCCCACGACTACTCAGTCACTTTCTTCACCAAGTCTTCTGGCAATATTAACTATCACAGTTTATAAAGCTTCGGTAAGAAATAAGTTTCTGGAATTCTCAACAATTGTTTGGTCTCCATCATCTAAAAAACCATAGCCAAGCTCCTTCTATAGGTTTAATATTTCGGTACCCTATGTGGCATTTCATTTGATGGTAGGATTCTGCTGCTGAACCTCTGTCAGAAAATAACAAATGTTGAATTGAATAGTTTTAGAGAGAATTATTTCATTTAGTTTTAAAGTTTAAATCCCTCTGAGGCCTATTGTGTAACATTTAAAAAATGCCATACAATTCTTTTATCAAGCAGATTTTGTAGCTGACCATTTTTAAAATGTGCTCTTTCCAGATTCAAAATTTTTCCCATGGAAAATAGATTGAAACTAAGGTGGGTTTTGGCTACTAAATGTTTGAACTCATTTTTGCAAAAAGGAAAAAAAAAGTGCAAACACATGTCCAGAAATGTTTATAAAAAGGAAAATGAATTGACAGACCTTCACCTTTCATACCCTATTGATGAACTGCCTTTTCAGCACGAGAGAACATAGACTTTGCCTGTGGATCTCTTATCATCCAAGACTAACGTACAAAAAACCGGAGCATGCTTTCTCTTTCATTTCAGGTAGGAAGCAACACAATAGGAGACCCAGGTCCTTAAAACTGTGTAGTCTTAAGAACAACCTAACTCCAAATAATTAAAAAGTCACAGATGCTAAAGGAATCTTTCTGCTGGTTGTAGAAAACTGGGCCTTGTACAAAATCTTAAGCACAAGACTGTATAGTTCAATAGGACTATTTGCTCCATCCCCATCTCAATTTTGGTAACAATCAAGTTCCTAAAAAGGAGGATGAAATCCCACCTATACTCTCTGATGGCCTTCATCTTGGGTGGGCCCTTCATCTCATTCTTCTCCCCTTAGTCATCAAACAAAAAATATATGATTTTCATAAGCAAAATTTCCCTTCTATGTAAATAGCCAAATAATTGGTAATAGCAGCAGTAAACATCCAACTTTTTGAAAATTAAGGTTGCTTGCTGAAACCACCTGAAGCAGCAAGACCACTGTCTCCTATAGACAAAAGAATTACTGGCACTGAAATGTTTGCTTGAAAATCCCAGCTTCATTTTAATTGCTAATCAATACAGTTTTATGAACTAGCACATCTCACTGTGTTCATATATCTCTAAAATAATACTTTTTTCACTTGCATAAATAAGAATCTGATAATCTTTTGTAATGGACAGAATTAGAATCAAAGCACGTTGACTTTGGTCTTACTGAAGTACTTAATTTTGAAATCAAAATGGTTTGTAGCTGGATATTATGCTTTGTACGTGAGGTCCACGCTGTACCCTTTTCCTTTCTGCTGGGTGTCCCACGAGGCTCACCTCTATGGCTGTAGCTGCTTTCTTCCTAAGGCCATAGCCCATGTCAGCCGCCCCCCCTTCTATGGGTCTAGCTTTAGACAGGTTTTGCCAACTGCTCTCTTCTCTTGTCCTTCCAGGCCTAGGTTTGATAGCACCCAGCCTTGCCAGTCCCTGGAAGCTTAATCATCACCGCTGGCTCCCATGATCCTTTACATTCCTGTACAGTTCTTTTATTAAATTCTCTTAAAATATACCTTCTAGTCTATCAGTTCTACATTTCCTGCTGAACAATGACTGACACAATTGTGAATTATTTTTGATATTTATATTTCATGAATGGTTCAAATGCCAAGATACATGATCTTATAATCTGAAAGTTTTTTTCTTTCATTCTATAAATTATTTATAGTTAGCTAGGGACCTGATTATACATATTATACATACTTATGAACAAGTCCTTGTTCATACATATTTCCTGACTTAAAAAATTTATTCTCCATCAGGAAATAAATCATGACATAACAGTATTTCAAGACTAATTTCAAGTTGAGGGCAGTTACTCACTAAAAATATACTTCCTGGAATAGAACAGATACTAAGTCTTGTTGAAAGATAAATATATGCATAGATGCTATGTTGGTTATTTTTCTCTTTACTCTCAGTTCCATTTTCTGTCTTTCCTTGTTTTGATGTTTTCACAAAGAAGTAGATTATGCAAATTCCAGTGTAAATTGCTCCTGGTTAATATGGGCCAGGAAGTACTGGAAGTCTTGAAGATGGAAGGAAGGGGAAGCAGGATCTTTTTTTCTCTGTTGGCTGCCCTAGAACTGTCCCAGAGCTGCCATGCCTTCTCCATGGCTCTATTCCTAATCTCTGGTTGCCTCACAATAACTGTGTGATTTCATAGCTTTCTCATTCCTTGTGTAATCAATTCCCTAAATTAAGTTTCTTTTACTGAAAAGAAAGGCCTATGGTGGCTTCCTTCTTCCTGACTGCATGCTGACTGATAGAGATGATTTGGTGGGCAAATGAAATAATTCCAATCTAAGAAAATGACAACAAAACAGCAAAGTATGCCTTCCATTTTCAGTCCATCCATAGTACCTGATTAAATCCAGTGGCTGATGCTTGTACCACATTCCCCAGCGTGCCCAGCGCTCATACAGTAGATGTCTATTATTCTGAGGTCCATGGGTTTTGATGGGCTGGCTACTCTTGTAGGCTCCCTGAAATAGATAAAATAAGATGACTCAATATCCATACTCTGTGAAATGTGAACTAAATAGGAACTGCTCTTGGTTGTTTTTTCTTCCCAGAATAATTGAAGAACTATTGAAAGCTTCAGAAATTATAAACCTAAAACCATCACTGGAATGACATAGTAAATGCTTTTCATATGTGTGTTTCATGGCAAATATTCTGACATTTCCTTAAAAATCCTCTCTTAAAATCCTTTTTTAAATCAATCCCTTTCACATAAACTAGACTTTAGGTTTCAGTTTGAAACTTGAGGTCTTTAATAAACACAGTATCTTCAGCTCCATTGAGAAAAATTGTTGTTATCTTTGGTTCAGAAGTTGAATATTAATCTGCTTTAAGAACTGATCCAGCCCAGAAAAAATTAATAATAATCAATAGAAGCAAAGGAAGAGAGTAAATGTTCCTTCAAAAAGTACAAGACCTATGTCACCAGCACTAGTCATGTTTACAAAGCATACTACCCTTAAAACTTACTTCACATAAGATATTCCCAAAATTGAAGCATGTTTTCAAATTCTTTATATCCCCCCTCAAAATATGTCATGTAGGTTGCAATTTCAGAAACAGAATATATATGCCTTATAGAGGAAAGTGCTCCCTGAAGGCTGAATTGCTCTGCTTCTATAATAGAAAAAGAGAGCAACAGATATGGTGACTATATTTTTCTGAAACAAAACTTAGCACATAGGATTTGACAGTCCTTTTCCTCATTTATGTGTGTGAGGCTACTTTTATAAAAAGTCTAACGAAAATTTAAAGCAAGTGGATTGATGTCTAAGTTTCCTCACACAGATGATGAGAATAAGAATACATATTAATGATACCCAGTATAGAGGAGTTTTGTGAGGGACCACCTGGATAATTACTACAAAGGGCCAGGCACATAGACGTACAAAAATCAGTGTTAGTTAATTTTAGGTGTTTGACATAATGTCACCATTGAAAAGTACAAACTATCAGCTGAATGATCCAGGACACCCAGGGCTGTGAGTTCCTTTGAAGAAACAGACACCTTGAACACATGTGGATCTCACCTCGGGCTTTCTCATTGAACAGATAAATTAATTCGATAAAAGTGGAAATACAGTTAAAGTGCTGAGGGGGTCAGGGCAGGCTGCCCCAAGAAAGTGCCACTTTGGGAAGTGGATTATTTTGAGCTGAAGACAATTAAGGACCGAGAGACTCAAGAACTTTTTCCTTTCCCCTGAATTCTTAAAAGAACTTAAGACAGGGTGTCTATACCAGGAAGAGAGCTATTACCAAAGACAACTTCTTTTTTTTAACACAAGAAGGACTTCATCTGCATGGCATGGCAATCATTTGTTTACCAAACATTTCTTCTGCTTATCTTCCTGTGAATCATGCTCCTTCCCTATCTCTTTCATAGATCAGGATAGGATGTAAACCTCAGTTGCCCCTGACAGAGAACCTCTCATGTCTTTGTGGGGCTCCTGTAAGTACGCAATCAAACTTATTTTTCTCGTATTAATCTGTCTTATGCCAATTTCATTATTAGGTCAGCCAAAGAACCTAGAAAAAAAGAAGGGAAAACTTTCCTCCCTAAGGGAGCCCAAGGGGTTTTAAAGTCTAAAGATTGGATGCTAAGCAGATGAAAGCAAAGATTGTGATTTTTAAGCATAGGAACATCTACTTGGAAAGGTATGTTTGTGAAACTGGACTGGCTTGTTAGGATAGACAGCTCCGAGATTGGGTAGGTGAGGGAAGATGAAGCAAAATAACAGCTTTCTTTCAATCATTACTGACAATACTTCTAAATTCATGATTTTCCTTCCTAGCCTCAGCAGTCAGACAGAGGAACTTCTTGGGTTTTAACTCTGCTCAGTAACCTCCATCACCATACTGTTCTGGGTTGACAGTGACATGAGGTGGGCTGCAAGAGAAAACTGACGCAAGTGATGGCTCCTGTCCACACAAATGTTTTCACCCCTTCTCAGAGGACACTCAGTGGTCCTCCCCATCCCTATGATCTGTCCTGTCCTCCATTCAACATACTTTTCCTTGCCTCCATTGTTCATAACTGGTGACATTGTTCATAACTGGTGACATTATCAATTCTATCAGCATGTTAGGCAAACTCCTTCTTACATAAATCTCTCTCTTCCTTCCTTTCTTTCTTCTTTTTCATGTCAAGTCTCTCTAGAAATGTCTTTCTTCCCACTAGCTATTGTGAGCAAAGAATAAATCTCAATTACGGATGAAAGATACAAGACTCACACTAGCAGTACTCCTGTTTCAAGGAAGGAGGCTGTAAATCACGAAGCTCTTTAACCAAATTATAGTCAGTGCCACTGCCCCGTTTCTCTCTAAGAAAGTCTTGCTGTGGCATTTAAAGCCAACAGACAATTCCTGGGACCTTTTTATTAACTGACTGCCTTGTTTTAGTCACTTAATTTTAACAATATTGTTTTCTGTGTTCCATATATTATTTGTGTTTCATATATTATTATTTATAAAAACAAGCAAGGAAATGGTGATTATTTACAATCTATTCCTAATAGGTTCCAAATGTCATGAAAGAGACTATCCAATGAACTGTCAGAACACAGACTAGCCATGAAGGTAAAATCACTTAACAGAGAACAAAACAAACTTTCTTTTAAGCTGCAGAATTTCCACAAGGGCTTAGCTTTGCCACTCTGAGTATTTTATCACTTACTATGTTGAATTTGACATGGTGTTTAATTTCTCTGAGCCTAATTTGTGCATCTCTACCTTGACAAAGTTATTGTCAGGTATGGAAGATAGATAAATGCATGGGACCTGTCACATGAAAGCACTAACTTAACACTGACTGTGGTTACTCCTATTTCTCCTATTAGGAGGTGTACCACAGTGAGGAGGAGCATTGGAGTCTGGCTTCCTGGACTCTAAACTGCACCTTTGATACTTGATCTTTTTGTGTCTAAGCAATGCATCTATAAAGTGGAGTTAATATTATTGTCTATCTCAGAAGGTTATAGGGATTACATGAGATAGTCCATATAAAACATTTAGCTAAGTGCCAAGTAGGGAGTGCTCAGTACATTTTATATTTTGTGGGTTATGTACTACACTGAATTCCTTGGGATAGGGATTATATCTTGTGAGTCCACAGCCTTCATAAATAGAAGTGTGATGCATTTGTAAGTACAGACATTAATCTTCTGAAGATTCCATTCTTATTTTAAAATGCGAAATTACCTTAAAAAGAATACAGTGTGTGTGTGTGTGTGTGTGTGTGTGTGTGTGTGTGTGTGTGTGTTTAGGGATAGTGTATAAAACTCATTGAAATGTCATTCATGATTCAGCAGGCAGAGCCCACCACCTTTCTCCACTTTGGAGAAGGTATTTCTTCTTAAAATGGGTAGAGAGATAACATGGAAGAGAAACAAGTAATTAATGGGGTACAGATTTCTGGTGTGGGTTTGCCTTAGATTTTCAGGTATCCCCAAGTAGTAGGCACAAACTAGAACCTGCCCTGTGCTGTGGATCCCAAGCTGGGTCAAACATGGAGCTCTGTTTTGGTGCAGAGGGTGGTAGTCAAAGTGGCAGAGCAATGTCCGTGAGTTTGCGTCTGAGACTGGGATTCCTAATATGGGACAAACAGCAGAAAGGTTCTGGAGCACAAGAGCCAGTGCACAACCAGATTACAGTGGGGTCTCAAAAAGGCCCAGGACCACTCACTGACTAAACCCTACTTGGAAAGGGCATTTAGACTTCAATGAAAAAAAAATGGGATCAAGCATTGAACATGAGACATTTTTTTCTTTTTAATGGAAATTATATTTCAAAATTACCTCATGTGGGGGAAAAGCTGCTATATATGAGCCATTGTTTATAAGTTTACAGATACCTGGAAAGAGAAGAAAAGAACAGTTTTTATGTCAGTTTAAATGAAGACTTCCCTCTGAAGCAACATACATATACTTGGGTCACTAAATTAATTTAAAAACTTAAATTAACACAAATGACTGCTTAGCCACATCACCAATGATGTGATGAAGAACTTGTGAAAGAGAATGATACTAAAAGTCTAATTATATCCTTACAACATTACTAACTGCCGCATCATGAAATACGGTACATTTTAATTCACACCTATTTGGGTTCACGGGAGTCTGGAGCGATGTTTTTTTCCCCAAAAAACAATGGAAGCAGAAGAATTCCCCACTTCCAATATGTCTCAGAAGGATATTGGTATTGAAAATCCTTAATTATTTAATACTCAGTCTGAGAGACACAATAGAAATACATGATATTTCTTAAAATCTCCACCTCAGTGAGAGTGTAGTGAAATGGACACTCTCATATAGTAATGGTAAGACTAAATATTAAGAACACTTTTCTGGAGAGCATTTTTTGTTCCAATATTATTTACTTCAGTAAAGAATTAGAAGTAATTGTACATCCAAACTTGGGGAATCATTTGTTATGGGGAAATCAATTACATTAGGTGCTTAGTAACATTTTGATTTGATGAATGCTTATAAAAGAGTATAATGCAGCTATTTACAATAATAATTATTTTCTGCCATATCAAAAAGCTTGAGAAAGTACTCATACAATTTTTTAAACAGTTAGCAAATTATAAACACTGTATATTCTAATTAAGATGTATATATATAAATGTATATATACACACATTCAATATATATATATATAGTATATAGATATATGAATACATATATAAATATTCGATATTCATTTGAAACAGTGGCAATGGAATTTAGGTATTTTTAAATTTTATTTTTCTACTCTTGTGCATTTATTGTGTGCTCCACAAAGTGCATAGTATCTTTATAATCAATTAAAATGTCACATTTTTATTTTTAAAGACTACAGCAGCACATAGTGCTATAATTAGACACATTTTTAGTTTATACTCTGGATTTCTCTATTTTATTTATTTCTTAGAAACGTTCTGATTAGACATACATCACTTTTTCTGTAAGGACTTAATGTCTATTTTGACTGCTCAGTAATAAGTGAATTACTAATCAGAGGAGAACTAAAGTCTAACATTCTTTAAAAAATGGTTGATTGAAACAGTTTATTTTACTTCTGTGGCACTCTACTTTAATGCAAATCAATAGAGATCAGTATAAGTTTCCACTGGCTTTCAACTTCTTATTTTCAAGAACTTTAAGACTAACATTTGATCTCTCTAGCTATCTTGTATTTTTTACACAGCAGTGAAAAGGACAACTCCTTTCCTGTTGTTTTCTGCTCGGCTCTATGTAAACTTTGCAATTGTATTTAAGTTTCCTAGGTGAGACGTTCTGAATTTTCTTTTGCATCAGACATAGTAGTGTACTGCTGAATATTCAAACACCACAAATTTAAAAGTTAAAATTAGCTGTTATTTCACCTTCCAGAGGTAATCTCTAAAAAATTTTCATATATATTCTGGATTTTTTTTTTCTTTGTATGCATATATGCTCAGGAAATGGGATTACATTGCACCTATAGTTTTTTAGTTTTATTTCACTTATTAATGCATTATGTGTATCTTTTAAAATAAATAAATGAAGAACTAATCACTAATTTTTACTCTCCATGAGTAAAAGGTCTGTATCACATAATTTCTATAATATAGCATATAATAGGTGTTTGATAAGTTTGAGTTAAGAATGAGCAAATATCATATAATTTTTAATGGATTAATTATGTGGATGTAGCCTAATTTATTTGACAGTTCCTAATGATGGACAGTTAAAGCATTTCTAGTTCTATTCTATTCTATTCTATTCTATTCTATTCTATTCTATTCTATTCTATTCTATTAATTTCTTTTACAACAAACACATAATGAACACATTTTTACCAATATTGTTATTCAAAAGTCTGATTATTTCTTTGGGATAAATTTCAAGAAATGAAACTTTTGTTCCAAAGTTTTTGCACATTTCACATATTGCTACATACTGCCAAATATCCTAGAAAAAGGTTTTATTTTATTTTATTATTAATTTTTTTGGAAGGCTGAAAACCATAATGTTTAGACTTTGTGTTCAGTGCATTATATCCACATGTTTAATGCATGAAGGCAAAGCTTCACTTGTTAAAAAATATTTCTGGGTATAATTAGTAACAGCAAATTCTACTTTATGTTTTCAAATAGTGTTCTTACCCACTTTTGATATCCCATTTTCATATTTAGTATGCTGCAGCATGTGATAGACTATCCTGCTTCGGGTAGCATTGCTGAAGAAGGTGTCTTTATTGTTTATTATGAAGCTGTTAAGATAAGAGGATTGGTTTTAAAATTCAAAGCAGAGCGCAGAATCCAGCAACAGCTCCAAGTTCCTGGGTCATCATCCATCTGTTTCTCCATTAAAACTGATGCATGGGAAGTATAGTAAATCAGAAGATAAACCATCCTCTTTGTAAAAAAATTCAACTGGCAGAGAAAAAATATACTTACAAGTAATACAGGGCATTATCAAATATTCATTTAAATGTCTTTTAGTTTATAAGGAAGCCTAGATGTCCTATATTTCTTGTTTAGCACGGAATGAGGAGAGAATAGATTGCCTGTTGGATCCCATAAATTTTGTACTACCTTAAGCAATATGGTTCCAAATAGAACACATTAAACACTGATATCACTTCACCATATCATACTTTCCAAGCTAGTTCATCTTGTGCTCAGAACCACAGAAATGAGCAATAGTCCTCCTTCCCCTTCATGCCCTGTATTGTCCCCATGTAGGAAGATTTACAAAGAGGAACCAGGTAAGAGCAAATGGTGTCAACAGCTAAACAGTAATGCCCAGAGGAATGGAAGAATCTGTTTCAGCATTTACTTTAAGATATGTTGGAGCCTCAGAAAACTGGATGTGTCCTGGGCCTCACTCAACTTCTGATAGATCTCTGTGAGTGAAAATCCACCAATTTTTCAGGCACATAGTAATAAAGTATTAGGTCTTCTATGATTCTTGTTTTTTCTTCACCATGCATATTCAAACAGTTGCCAAACTAAGTAACTTTTCTAACTGACCTGCCTCACTCTGGCTTTGTGCTCTGCATCCTATTTTGGGTCTCACTGCCTCTTGCCTAGATTATGAGAAGAACGTCCTCCTAACTGGCTGCCCAATTTCCATATGACTCTTCAAGCACAGCCCTGATCCTCAGCACACTCCGACTTTTAATTGGTAAGCAGCTCTCCATTGTATGAATAATTAAACTTTTTATTTTCCTCTCAGGCTCTCTAGACTTGCATTTCAGCGTCTCCCTGGGTCTTATTTCTTATAGCTCTGCTTCTTGCTTCTGATAATCTGTCAAATTGAAGAATTTATCACCTTGAAATCTCATGCTACTTTCCTTCAGGATTGTGATCTGCCTGTGGTATCTGTTCCCCAACTGCCCCTCACCTCCCTCCTCGTTTTACTATCTCCCTCAAACAGATTCTGGGATCCTCTCCTCTGACTGTAGCTTCTCTCTTTCTTACAAAAATGTGCATTTTACTCGGGTCTTTCCTAACACACTGATTTTACTCGGCCTTGTTTTATGGTCATCTGTATACCTGTCTATTGTGTTAGACTCTGAGTTCCTCCAGCATTTCAATATTGTACTGTTTAGTTTTGTACTTGGATGACCAAGTTCACAGCTCATGTCCTGTTAGCTGTAAGTATCAGAAGGAATGTCTGTGCAATTTCTCACTATCAGATTGATTCAGACTTCCCTGAACAAATATTTCTTCAGTAGGGAAGTTACTTTTTTCATGAAGTTACATTGTGGAGGGAGAAAAAAAATGGTAAATAAAGAAAAATTAACCAATTTCAGGTAACTGCAATGAAGAAAAATGAAACAGCGTAATGATGTAGAGAATAACTGGGACAAGGAGACTACAGATAACATTTTCAGGTAAGGTCTCTTTGAGTTGGTGACATTTGAGGTGGAGCTGAATGATAAGAAGGATTGTGTCATGAGAAAATCTGTGGAAAGAGTATGTTAGGCAAACAGAACAGTTAAAAAACAAAGACTCTGAGATGGAATTATGATTAAGTTTTTGATGAATCAAATCAAAACCTGTGTCCCTGGAGTAAGTAAATGGTAGGGAAAATTGCAGAAGATGAGATGATGTTGGGAAGGGGCCATAGCATATATGGCCACATGGCAGATGATAAGAAATTTGAATTTTATTATAAGTGCAAATTGTAAGCCATTCGGGGGTTTTAAGCAAGACGATTGCATGATCTGATTGGAGTTTTCTAAAGATTACTCCATTTTCTTTGGTTCAAAAATAAAGAGCAGAATGTTTTTATCTGATGCATCACAGAACCTGAAAAAGTACAGTGAAAAGCTAAAGGAGCTTCTGTGGTACTGTAACTTCTCTCTAAAGCTGGAAGTCACCTGGATTTCCACTCCTTCTTCCACTTCCCACAGCTAGAATTAGAAAGATTGTTTCCAGATCCACCTTTAAGACAAAGCATGAAATAAATCAAATATTTGGAAGGAGAGGGTTTCCCATTGATTACTGTCTCTGTCACATTTGGTGGTCTGGAATTCTGCTCAAGCCTGCCTCTCAACTTCACACATCCCAGAGTATAGGTCAATCCGGAATAGTGTACAGCAGAGTAGCCCTATAGCTGCACAGTGTACTGTGCATTTCTCTATCTTTATGCTTATCCCATTTTATTTGATTATTAATTTACATTTTTGTCTGCCCCGCTAGGCTGGAAGTGTACCATAAAGGCAGGGACTGTTCTATGGCCTTAATCTGTATCATGTAGAAACTTAGTACTAGTTCAATGAATAAAGGAATAGAGATATGTTGTTATGTAAATAAATAGATGATAACGAAGCAACAAATCCCTAAAAAATCTTAATTCTCCTGAGTTTAATAAGATTAAGATGGATTAAATATGTATATATTAATTAAATATAATTATAAATATGATAATCTATTAACTAGAACGACCCATTATTCAAACATGTTATTTAATAGAAATTCTATTATGATCCTTACTATCATTATTGTTACTTTAACTGGGTGACTTACTACCATTGTAATTATTTTGAAAGAATTGTGAGCTTAGACTGTCAGCCTATGAGTTTACAATTAATTATTCATTACTTGAATGTCTCTAAATCATAGTTGATAAAGAATTAATAATGTTTGTTGAGTGTTGTTCTTAAGTGTGTAGTTTAATTCAATGACTTTGGCAAACAATGAAACTGGACCAGGTATTTTTCTTCTATCAACAACTTCCAGATAATGAAAGGTAACAAGGCAGGTAGTATGAGAAAAGAGATGGGAACTTACTGGTGAATCCGTGCACGGCTGAAGGGGCCAGTATAGCAGTCTGACTTCTCCAGGTCTGGAAAAGCTGACTTGTCAAGAACCATTGGGTTTTGGGCCATCCATTTTTTGATTCTTCTAAAATAATTTTGCACACTGGAACAAAGTCACACTTTAGAATTAGACTAAGTTGCATTCTAGAGCCATGCCTACCTTCCATTACTGTTTCACAAGAGTTTCAAAAAGACACACACACCCACACCCATACCCATCTCGTACGCACACAGCATTCCTCCTGTGCCCACACAAAAGAAGTAAATTCCAAAACAACCAAATCCTGCATTTGTTTAAACTCATTCAGGGCAACTAGGTTATCCTCATGAAAAAAATTCTCATGGAAAATATTAAAGAATCATCATGCATAAATATAGTGGTAGGAAAGAGCATAAACAATAAAAGTAGCATGACATGTTTATTAAATTTGTGTGTGTACATATGTATGATGTATGCATTTATCTGTATCTATTATATGTAGCTACAGATCACTCCCTGATTCTTTAAAAAATCTAACTATATGTCTCTGCAAGATTGGAGACTAAAAAGAAATAAATGACTATGACACACACTTTATAGTGCTGGGAGCCACAGATGTAATGGAAACAGCAAGGGGTTTGGAGTCAAGCAAAACTGGGTTTAAAGGCACTATGTAGCTGTGTGCACTTGTATAAGTTATTTAACAGCTTCTTGCCTCAGTTTCCTCACTCATAAAATATAAATAGTAATATCTTGCTGGAGAGTTGTGAGTTGTTTTACTTTAAACTTGATCATTAACAATAAGGGAAGTTGAGGCCTTTGTAATACTTTTAAACTTTAATGGTATATGAATCACCTGAAGATCTTGTCAAAATGCAAATATTAATTCAGAAGACCTGGGGTGGGGCCAAAGATTCTACATTTCTAACTAACTCCTAGGGCAGCTCCTGCTGTTATCCACTGTATGTGATTTGAGTAATGGATTTAGCATGGGCATCAGATATATAATACCAAGAGACTATTTCAAGAAATCTGACATCAGGATACTTTGACCTCAGCTTTAGATTACAGTCTAACAGTTTTATCATGGTATATATACTGACTGAAATCTTATGTTTTACAAATTTTTAAAAAAGCAAGTCAGATATATCAACTCTGGAGGCTGATTCTGAAAATCCAAATTCTGAGTTACTATAATAACAGCTGGGCTTACTAAAAAACGTGCAATATTCATTCACACACTATGAGGTTAGATCTTTGGCGATTTTTGGCCTCTTCTAAATAGTAAGTCAAAGTAGCAGGATAAAATATTTTCTTAGACAAGTACAATGAATCTTAATATTTGGCCAACTCTACTTCAATTTATTTTAAAAATTAGCAAAGCAATGTGCAGGAAGCTAATATTGTATCTTAGGAATATTTTTTTCAAGCATATTGTGGTAAAATTGCTATGCATAATCTGAAATAAGAATCAAGTCCTGATGTGAAGTTTAGTATAGACCTTTCCTTTGCCAAGTAAGGCTGTCATTTAGATACCAAGTCATTTTGGTTTTGGAGGGACCAGAGCATTTCTTTCTAGCCTAAAGTAATAATGAGCAGTATCTGAGGTGCTCATATTGCTTCTTTTCATAAAGAAAGCCTCTGAAATCACAAAATATCACCATATCCCAGCAACTAGGTCACAGGCTTGTAGAAAACACTGAATAGGGTTTATGGAAATTACTTCATATTTTCAAACTTTACATAGTGAGAAAATGTGGTAGGAGTTGGAGGATGAGTGTTGTAAAGACCAAGGCCGGGTCACCTCAAAATGTGTCACTTTGGCAAATTGATGGCTTTGAATTAAAGTGACTATCGAGACCACCAGTACAGGAGGAATACTCTGACTCTGCTCTGAAACCAGGACATAAACCTCCCACATGAAGGGTACCCTCCTATACCAGCAGACAGACACATCCTTGTCACCAGAGAGGGAATCAGAGCCAAGAAGGCTGTGTATATTTTCCTTACTAATTGAAGCTCCCAAACCTGTTGCCTTTGTCCTGTCAGTTCCTCATATATCTATTTTCTCATTGTCTAAAATGTATAAAAACTGCCTGCCTTGGTCATTTCTTTGGGTCTCAATTTAATTATTGGGCCTCTGGGTGTAATAAAACTTTGTTATTCTTCCCTATAACTCTGTCTCACGTTAATTTGATTCTCAGACCAGTCAGAAGAACCTTGAAGGGCAGAGAAAAAATCTTTCATCCCTAACAGTGTTCTAGTACTGAATTTGCCAAGCAATGAAATTGAGGCAAACATTTCCAACTTTCCAGCATCAGGTTCCTCATCTCTCAAGAAAGGAAGTAATTCCATCTGTCCTACCTTCATTCGGTGGCTAAGAGGATCAAATAAAAGGAGGCATTCTGACTATACTTACAAAATGCCAATGAGTTATTGCACCCAAGGGTCTATTATCTGTGACAAAATCGCAAACATATCAGAAATGAATGTGAATTTTTAAAAAAAGAAATTAACCAAACTGACCTTCAGATCATCACTGTACTTTTTCACAGAAAATGAACAATATTATCAATTTAGGCTCTTCATATACAGTTCCTATAAAGGAGTAAATTGTGTCTGATATATCTGATAGGGGTCAGGCCTGAATATGAATCACAGGATGCAAAGTTCTAGCTTATTATTTAATTTCTTTGATCTAAGTTTTTTCATCTCTAAATGAAGAGATACTTTGAGAATTAAAAATGTAATGCCTGATGTTACAGTGCTCAGCACACAGTAAGCACTCAATACATGTTTATGAGGAAAAGGGGTATTAGTACCAATTCTACTACTCTACCACTCCCACCACCATGCCACCAACATGATCTAAGGTATTATCTACACTCCACCATTAGTGTGGGCCATCTTGCAGACTTAAGGTTTCATGGTGTGATGTGAAGATGACTTCTAACAAAGCTTTAAGTTCCTTAGCTAAAATGAGTAGAAAGCAGAGAATTCTATGGAAATTGAAAAGAAGTCTGAATTAAAGAGTTAAAAGAACTTGGCCGGGGCATAAACTCTACCAAACCAGCTGTGAAGGCTAGAGTTTGAGAACTGGGGTGGTAGGAAGTGGGGATAAGGGAGTCACTTATTTCCCTGATCTGCAAAACCAGTTACTCTTTGCTTTGCCTCCCTAAGGGGTCATTTTGAAGATGCTCTGATAACTGAATGTGAAAGTGCTTTGTAAACAGATAGTAAATAGAAATAATAATAGAACTATAGCCATTCCTATCAACCTGACTAGAGAAATGATAATTTTCGAAAGCTGGATAATTGCCTGTACATTATTTATCATCTAATGGTTACTGGTCAAAATGCCCATGCACAAAACATCTTTCCCACTTCAGGAAAGGGAAAGCACAAGTAAAATATAAGCACATTCAATGGATTTTATGTTTCTGCAAGACTCTGAAAGGAAGATGCCTGTTTATCAGAAAACCCACTAATTATGCAGTAGCAAAACCTCACTAATTCTATAGAGCACATTGAACCTAGCCCAAAGAGATTTTATCAACACAGCCAACATTAAGCTTGCACCTGCAGAGAAAAACAAGAAAAACTTGCAGTTGTAAATTTGTATATTCTAATATTCTAATACTTTCTCTGTATTATGCAAAAATAACTGGAAATTTGCTACACAGATGAAGCTAAATATGCCCAAGGGAAATGATGAAATCCAAGCATGTTAAGCTGGCAAACAGAAAAGATCTGACATGCTGAGGAGCATAGTTAACAATCTCTCTCTCTCTCTTTTTTTTAAAGAGCCATTTGAGTATTCATGCCTTTAATATTCATTTAATTCCAAGTTCCCCCCATGATTTATTTTCCTTGCCACCCATTCCTACTATATTTATATTTAATGTTAAAAGATATCACCATTCTCCTATTATAAAATTCATATTTTTTCTATTCTATAGTTCTAAATTATATTCAGCCATTTTCTTAGTAGAGAACTAAATTTATTGAATCCTTTTTCTAAAATGGTCTGATTATATGAGTATTATATGAGTATTCTCCCTTTTTGTCATTCTGATAGGGCATACCCTATCACATTCACATTTTGTTTTTGTTAACTGATTCTTTTGCAATGAGCAGGAAAACAGACCAGTATAAGAGGTCTTTTGTTTTTAGCCTCTATTAAAATGAAGCTTATTTCCTCCAGTGAAACAGGAATAAGGTGATTCAGGTGGGAGAGTTTCTCCTGTCTCAGGGTTATGGTTTGATTAATTCATCATAACTTCTGTTACCACAATAGCTAAGATATGTTGTTTTGAGATAAAGCTCTTAAAAATAATTTTATTTTCAATACTAGGATAAGAGGGGATGCTTCAGTTGATGGAAAAAGAATAGGTCTGTGATTCGAAGGCGCTGTCTGACATTGGTAAACCACTTCATCACTCTGGATGCTAGTCCTTCCTTAGCACCTCTGTCAAATAAGAGATTTGAATTGAATGATCCAGGTCTCTGCTGAGTCTGCTGTTCGAATACTCTAGTTGGTTATCATTTACCTTTCGATCCTAGCTTTATAACTATTTTTAAAATTAAAACCTTCTAAGATGCTAACTTGCAACTAAATAAATTCTCCTTCCACAACATTGTATCAAGGGAAGATTGCAGGAATAGCAGTGGTAAATAGAAAGAAGAGATTATCTAATTTTGAACATTGTTAAATTTAGCATTAAGTCCTTGTGGAAATTTCTTGAACAAATCAAAAAAGTTTTCCTCCTAAAATTTACAACTGCTGATACAGGTACTCAAATATCTTCTTTACATTTTTTTTTTCCAAGTGACCAATTGGTCATAAACAAATTACACATCACCTACCAACCTGCTCATTGATTTGCTCCTCCGGTCAGTGTAATAGCATTTTTTCCTGAAAAATAATAGAAATCAGCTGAAGAAAGTAATGAGCATAGTGAAACCAGTGAATGAAAACATTCAATCATATTAGCATAATACTCCAACCTCCACATGCTTAAGAAAGACATACGACAATATGTACAGTATGATAGAACTGTGAATTTAATTTTTTTTATTTCAAAATCTAAATTTTACCAATAAAAAATCACTTTCATGAATCAAGAGATTGCTTTTGAATAGTTGATTTTTAATTCAGTTTTTTTGGAAGTTTGTCTTCAGCAACACAATGCACATTAATTAGGTCATTTGCTTATATGCTATTATATAAAGTCATCCATCCACCTAAACACATATGCAATGAATACTTAATATTTTGCAAGGAATGTTAAAGTATAACAACTAAAAATTTAGAGGGAAAAAAGAGGGTGTCTACCCTCAAAGAGCTTCCTTTCCAGCTGAGGAGACAAGTGATAGTTATAATAAGGCATGATAATGCAAGAAAACGTGGGAAAACTTGTATGGAAGTGCCTAGGAAGGAATTTCAATTAGTTTTGTAGAGGCAGGAGAAATGAGACAGGTAAGCCTTCCAGAAGATGCATTATCTGTGTTAAATCTGGAAGGATGAGTGGGAATTAAGTCTCTGAATTAAATACTTAGAACGTGACATTCTAGACAGGTGTCTAGAAATGGTTATGGGAACATGACCAAGCATGGTAAGATTCAGGGAGTCGCAGCTAATCCATCAATCACTAGAGTATAAATTTCAAGTTGAGGATAATGATAAATGAGGTGGGGTGGATGGTGAACCAGACACTGATGATGAGGTGATGAGGGGTCTTAACACTAATGCTAAAGTTTTTTGATGAAAAGCAGTGTGAAAATATTGCATGTTTTAAGTAGGTGTGTAGCATGTTTGACTTTAGAGAAACCAAAAATTCTGATGACAGATGTTTTTTCATCTCTTAAAAGATTCTTACTACATTATCATCTTGGAGCTTAACAATCTCATATTCTGGCCTTCTAAAATGCCTCCCTATCCATACCCACCAAAACCCACTGCAGAGGATCAGTAAACTGCTTCACAGTGTGGTGTCGAGAAAGCTGGGCTGAGAGTGAGGACAACTAATACTTAGTCCTAACTACTTAAAAAACCTGAAAACCTTCTAAACTACCTATTTCATGGCAAGCACTGGTTACATTACCAGAAAATAATTTTTAAGTTGTATTTGCCATACCCCAACACTGAATTCAAATATGAAATTTCAAGGCTTGCTATATGTCTATCAAATTCACACATTAAATATATCCCTTCTTCATTTTTTCAAACATACACAGGTTTGTGTGAGTACATCATTTAATCCCACTGGAATATAAACCCATCTTCTCTCTTAACTGTCTCTACATAAACTTTCTGCACAATTTGCCCAGTCACTATGTCATTGTTTCCTGACTATCTTCTATAGAAGACTGGGCTTCTAGAAGACAGTAGTTTTATTTCATTTGACTTCATATGCCAGGTTTAAATTCAGTACATTGTTTGATAAATGGTAAGCACTCAGATGACTGATGAATAAATGAATGAGCCTTTATTTAATTCACAGTTGTGTTTATTCCTTTTGATGCCTTAGAGCACTTGACGTTTAATAAAGTTGCTAAATAAGGTTTGATTAAAAACATATAAATACATAAATTGCTTCAAAATAATTTTCAGCATCACAAAAAATCTAGGAATGTGATTAAGGGAAGATAAAGATTATGCTTATAATTATTGTTTGTGGGTATGGTAAAAGATATTACAAAAGCAGAGGGGGAATTTGGATTAAACACTATTCTCTATGTATCTTTATTGCTGCTAGTTTGAAATATTTTTTCTTAAGTTCCTTTAAGTGCTTTGGGAGAAAGCATACATACTTTTGGGAAGATGAACATACATACTTTTTAGACCACTCATCATGTAAGAGCAAATAAAAATAAGACTCAATTTCCCAATTAACCAATACCCCAATTACTGCTAGGCAAATCTAGGGTAAATTATGTGTGACAATTAATGCTGTCGAGTACTCTTACTTGAGGATTAGCTACTGTTTATCTTGAGAACATGTGTATTATGGGGTAACTGCTTGGTTACACAAAATGGTGAGATTTCTTTCTGTCTTTGCCATCTTGTAGGGGATTGCCTTTGATACACAACACATTTGGTTTATTGCTTAGTCAATAATAAAAGTGTTTTCTTTCTCTTTTAGTTTGAGAAGTTTTCTGGGTTGGTGGAGATTTTGTTTTTAATTCTTTTCTCCCAACAACATGTAAGTGTATCTTTCATCTGAAGTCAGTAACCTGAGACTCTCATTAATTCTTATACATAAATGACCCTGCAGGACCAAATCATTTCCTACCCATAATATAACATTCTACAATTTATTACTTGCATTTTGTTCACTTACCAAGTTTTCTTATTTTTTTCCCTTAAGTTTTCCTTTGAAAGATTATGCTATAATTATACCTTGCATCAAGGCAGCTTTTATCTACCTACCCACCTACTACTTACCACAACAACTACTCAAAATTATAAGTAAATAAATATCTCAATCACTGTTTCCAACCAGCATTTCACACAGCCAGTGACCACATGTGGAGCTGCCTGGGGGCCCACGTGATGAGGGCAATCACACGGGTGGGACCCTGGGTCCCCTGCTCCTTTCAAGCAGATCGAATCCACTTCTATATATTGGGCTCTCTGTATGTTTTATTGTTATTTTATTTTTGAGTGAATTATCCTTTGCACAAAAAAAGTGATCTAAATATATCTTAATTGTATGGTTATTTTTAGTGTATTAAAAATATTCCCTCAAATTTGCTATATTTAAAATATTTGTGGGAGGAGAAGTGTAAGAAAAGACGGGAAGCTGACACCATCTTGGAGCCCACCTGAGAAGTTACAGGATGCCTGAATCATCTTAAAATTTGTTTGATCCTTTCATGTGAGAACAGTAAAAGAAAGATTCGGAGTCGTCTTTGAATCAAAATAAAAATAATGAAAGAAGGACTTGATTTTTCTGGACTGTAGAAGACACATTTTATCCTTCCTGATAGGATAAAAACTAGAAAATGTGGACCAATTTTCTGAAATGTTCTTGGTTAGTTTTGAAACATAAAGTCTAATATGTAGACCATATTTACTTTGGAAGAATAATTAAGAAAAGTAGTAGCTAGAAAATTTAGGTATAAAAAATTCTACATGTATATTCATCAAGCACAAAATCAAGATAAAATGCTCAAGATTCATATAATCTTGAACAATTCATACAATCAACTGTTCATACAATAAGTTAGCAGAAAACTTGTAGACATGGTTATAACTCTAATATTTTTTTATAAATAAATTTGAAGCTTTTCTTTGTGGAATGCAATTTTGTAGGTTTCAACACTGAATACACATGTGGAAATCATGAGCATGAGCACATTTTATATGCATAAATCTTTAAAAATCTTGTCCTAAAAGAAGATATGTAGTTTTTCTACTTAAGTTCTTTGTTATTTGTATGTATTTTAGTTTAAGACAGATATATGTTCTTAAGCAGCTGACAGTTGGACACTTTGTGCTTGAACAGAATTCTTTTTTTATGAGCTGACTGCTAGCCCAAATTTCAGGTGTAGTTTAAAAATAAATGAGAAGATAGTTACTAAAGACACTCACAATCTGGAAATAGGATTGTTTTTAATGACCTTCTAAGAAAAAGAAAGAAACAGATTAAATTGTCCACCTTTTAAAAAACTGGTTATGAAAATACTGATTATTCTATCACTAAGATGTCCTTGAAGTTTAATAAAAAGGAAAGAGTAATGGCAATCAAAGGAGGCCAATGTGCTCCAAATACACTTTACATTTTAAAAATTAGAAGTCTCTGACTGAGATGGTGGAAAAAGTTATATGAAAAACATGGTACCATAGATTGTGTTGATATTGTCTTCACAAAACTTTGTCCCCATAGACTACAGTAGGATGAACACACTTTGAAAGTTAGTTGATAAAGAAGGAAAAAAAAATCTTTGAAATTATGAGTGTCAAATATTTGGGGTAAAGAAGACATGTAAACTGACATTATATTCATGATTTAAAAAAACCAATTGCATCTATAATAAGTGTCTTTGCCAGGAGCTAAATCAAACTATGTCAAATCTCAACTTGTACACCAAAAAAGGAACCAGTATTCTAGACTCTAGTCAGACATCTGTTTTACATAAAGTTCAGAGGTGTAGGTGGAAGATATGCCCCTTTTTTGATGAGATAATTTAACCAGTGTTCAGTCAATCTGAACTGAACCCAAATACTGAAACCCCCTGAAATGGTGTATTTTGTGAAAGACTCCAAGGGTTTCCTCCTTTCAGATCTATAAGGAAATTAGTTTCTACATGAATTCAATTACAACTCTTTAAAAAACAATGGTGAAATCATAGGAATAGGGCAGGATGATGTCACCTAAAATCAGTTAGGATGAATTTGGGAATTTTAGCAATGTCATCCTGATATCAGAAGGTAGGTTATTGTCTTGAGTGTCTTATGCACCCTTTGTTTACATCATGCAGTCAAATTAGAATTTGTTAAAAACAATTTTGATAAATGTAAAGAAAAAATAACAGGTACCCACAATCCCACACATCAGAAGCAGTCATTTTTAGTGATATTTTCTTTCAGTTTTATTTCTACCCATTTTACATTGTTGAAATTGCATTGTATGAATAATTATATATCATATACAAATATAATTTAAATTTTAATATTTACTATTTCTCAAAAACCACTAAGAAATCCTTGTAGCCATTCATTTTATAAATGACATATTCTATAGCAAGGTTATATTCTAATTTAGTTAAATCTTCTACTGTTGAACATAGAAGATATTTCCAGTTTCCAGAATTAGAAATAATAATACTTCTGGGAATTTTTACACATTTTTTTCAATTATCTTAAGATAAAAAGTGGAGGGTATTAAAATTCTTTAAGGCTCATTGAAAATATATTCAAACTGAGTTTCAGAATATTTTATGAAGTTTGACTTCCTCCATAAATAAAGATGATTATTTACCATACCTCTGTTAGGTTTGAAGATTATTATTTATAAAATTCTTTGCTTATTTCATAGGTTAAAATTTATCTGTTTTAATTCTCCATGATTTTGTGGAGCATGATTATGTACTGACCAAATAAGAAAAAATCAGCTGGAACAAATGGCAAATATTCTCCCTCTATCAGCCTGCAATAAATCTCAGGCAAATATTTCAAAAAAAATCCTCAGAAGTCAAGAAATGTACAGCAGTGCAAGTACACACTTATCTAGCTGTACTGTCAAGTTTAGTTTAGTATAATAACCAAAGTTGAAAATAATCCTTTGTAGATTTCAAACTATCTAATCAAAACACAGCTAACATCTCATAAGCCCTTACATGTTTCTTTCAGGAACCAAGTTTCATAAAAAAAGTACAAACCTTAAGTTCTCTTAGGTATCTTATTTATCATTTATACAAGTTGCTAAATACTTAGAATTTTCTTTTTTATTTATCTTCTTTTGCTTTTTATTGTTATTTTTGCTATGATATTTAGGTATTATTTGCTTATCTTCTAACTATCATCTGTATGGAGAATTTTTAAACTCTCAGCCAAGCATGAAGGTGAGTTAACTTAGGTATCTAATTCTACCTTTATCAGTAAGATTCCTCAGTAATTGCCAAAGTTTAATCGATTCCTGTTTTGTTGTTGCATCTCTCAAGTCTGAGGTATTTCAATGACTAGAAAGATGAGATCAGCATTTCATATTTTATTTTGAATACTGAGGAGTTTTGCCATAAGACTTGAGGATGTCTGAGATTTCTCTCAATTTTTGAATTGTCTTCTGCTGTTCATTCATATTCATTATCTAGAGGCTCTTTACTTGGTATCCTGTTACTCTTTAAACCTTCTTATTAGCTGATGAGGCACACTGAGGTCCAAGTAAGTGCAAATATTGTTATCTCTACATAATAGGAACACTGCTGAATTTTACTTTGAGAAATGGTGGAGGAAGGTGATACATTCTGTATTTAGCATAAGATACACAATACAGGGGAACTGTGTCTATTTAATCTTTGCTTGCCTACAGGGAGGATTAAAAAATCTTTGAACTGAGCAGCCCTGTCATTATTTATCCTTTTATAATGAGAGTAGAGCTAAGACATTGAAAAAGCAAACTGAATTTCCAAAATTTTGGACCATGGACTATTTTTTCTTCATAGCTTACTCAGTTATTCGTGTTTTGTGAAACATCGTGTGGCTGAATATCACTTGAGGAATGATTATTGCTAACTTCTGCAGAGAAAATTACTGTAGTTTAATACATAAAGATGCTACATGAGTACCCTCTCTGCCTTCCACAAAAACAGTAAGACTTCTATCTACTCATATTAAATAAGAAATGACATTGATTTGGGGAATATTATGTTGTAAGTTAAAATTTGAAAACAGCCATTTTTCCCTCCTAGGCAAATCTACCTAGAAATGATATTAAGTATCCAGGGAACCAAAGAATTTACTACATTAGGCAGGCAAATTAGAAAAAAAAGAAGCATTCAAGATAACCTAAGCTTTGGGAGAAAAACATTTCCTCTGTAGAAAGGGTTACATTTATTTTTCTGTGGTTTTATAAAAAACAGACTCATCTTACTATACTTTGTGATAGAATGAAATGAAATTTGAAAGTACCTGAAGGGCATCCTGATATTCAGCCTCTCTGCATACTTGCACAATGTGTCCCATGGAATGTGAATTTTAATAAACATAATATCAGGGTTTGCAACAGCAGGCTGCAAAGGATAGCAAGACAGGCATCATTATTTAGAATCAGAGCTGATGATATCATGTAACAATTTGATCTGAGGAAAATAATATTGTTTATACAAGAATCATTGTCACTGATTTAAAAGGAATTTATATGAATAAAACCTCTTCATATAGAAAACCTTAACAAATATGTAATAATGCCATGTACACAAGAAATAATCACCAATGTTAGTTAGTGCATTTTCTTTTATTGATTGTTATCAAGATCCCCAATCAGAAAACTCATGAGTTAATTAGAAATCTATGATTCTTTCTGGGCACTTTATCTTGATTCTCTCAGTCCTGCTCAGAGGGGATAAAAAACACTGACAATTGCCACCATTCATTCATTATTCATTTACTTATTCTTCTGGCACATTTCCTTGAGTAATTAATTAATACTTGCTAGGTTCTATGAAAATCCTGGGGAAAAATGGAGTACAAAACATACAAGTCCATGACCTCACAGAGCTGTCAAATTTGCACATTTACTCTAACCTTTTAGTCCACTTTTTCCTGTATCAAAAGATCCTAAGAATTTAAGAATCCTTGATGACAACAAGAGGTTTTTAGGCAGAGTTCAAGTGTACATCAGAATTATCTAAGGAGCTGTTAATGAAACGAGGTATCCTGGTCTAATTCTTAAGAATTACCAGAATTGGATTCAATTGTTCTGAATATTTTGCTCATTCCATTAACAAAGAATCAGATTTTTTTTTGAACGAGATAATCATCAGGATTCTTAGATTTGGTCCAGTGGTCTAAAATAAGTAACTAAAAATTGACAACTCTGACATTATCTATCATTAATATTCATATTCTACTTTTTAAAATATCTAGACGGTTATCTCTGAAGTTCCTACAATATTTGAGGCCCACAGAGAAAGGAAGCAGTTTGTGGCCATTCTAGCACTGAATTCCACAGAATTTATCTATCAAGAGATTAGATGAGCTGAACATATGTAAAGGAAGAATGTTGTTTGATTCCATTTAGGCACACGTGCCAGGTTAAGCAGAGCTCAACTCTTTTTGGCTAACATTGTTCATTTAAATTCCAACTAGACAGAACATCTCAAGAAACATACCAATATTAAAAACTCAAAGTAGGGAAGAAATTGATCAGTTTAATTTAAAAGTATGTATATTTAAATTAAACTGTACAATTTTATATTCATATTTTCATAAAGCTCTATATTTCAGATATGGCTAATTTCACAAATTTGCTAGAAAAATATTTCTAATTTGTATTTTTTAAAGTATTAGTAGTGGACCATGGGGCAATCACTGGACTAATACGCAGATGTAGGAGGAAGCCTGGCCACCATGGCCACTGGGCAGGCACTTTCACAGAGCAGCGTCTGTCAGTTTGTTCCACGGAGCATTATGAGAAAAGAGGGGATATTCCACAGTCAAGGAAAGTTTGGGTTTCTCACTAAAAGACTTGCGAGACATTTTAATACACATATACTTGCTAAAAATATCCAAGAAAGTGAAAATTTAAACTGAATTTCCAAAACTTTGGACCATGGATTGTTTTGTCCTCACAGCTTTACTGAATTATTAGCATGTTGAAAATTGTCATGGGAAAAATAGCATAAGAGGCTTTCACATTAGTAAAATTTCCAAGGGGCTTTTCTACTCTGAATACAATTGTTTTCAATTAAAGGTTAAGAATGATGGAAATAAAAACTGACAATGACAGAGGACATAGTATGTGTTAAATATCTAGAGGCCTTTGAATTCAGACTAAGGTTACACATATTAGCTATGCTTGAGGAAATAATGTATATAATTTTTGAAAAATGAGCTTTAATTCATTTAACAACTGTTTGTTTAAAAATACATTATTTTCCTAGCTAGAAATCTATCATTGGTCAAGGAAAAGGAGAAACATGATGTTGATTATTTTCAGGCTTTTTAGGGACTGTCCAGACTTGGTGGAAAGATTTCTGTGCAGGAGTGGTAGAGACAGAAAAATCTTTCTGAAGCATTAAAAACAAACAAACAAAAAAGGCTTTCACTTATTTAAATAACTCCCTTACCTGAGGCAAGAGAAAGAAACATTTCCTATTTTATTATAGATTTTCCTGCCTTATCCATGCAGAAGTTCTTACATTCAAAATGATTACCAAGGAACGTCCTTCTTTTGAAATTATGCTGCTGGCTACCAGTGTTAAACCAACTTACTTTTCATTATCCAAGCACAATTTCATTTCATTAATCCTGTCTACTTAGAAAAAAATCGTATTGTTTGGCAGAAAGAACACAGTGTTTGGAATCACAAAGACTTAAGTAAAAATTCAATGTATTTCATTTACCTGCTCTATGATCTTGGAAAAGTTACCTAACCTCTCTGATCATCCATTTTCTCTCCTGAAAGATGGAGAGAATGATCTTAACTCACAGAGTTGTTGTGTTAGGACACTTAGACATAAAAAGCACAGGTACACAAGTGTAACAGGTTATCGAGAATTGTTCATTCTCAGTTGGGAACATGTCTCTTGAATTAGACCCCACCCAAAATAATGGTAATTTCAAAATTTCACTCAAATCTCTCTTTTTTCCTCAGTAAATAGCTACCTGATTCATCTTTGGTAGAACCTGTTTCTTGGTTTTGTAAGCTTTCTATAATAGGCTTTTCAAGTATACAAGTATAAAGCCAGTAATCACCTATGATTTGGAGAAATAGAGTGACTTGAACTAAGTGACTGCAGAGTTAATTTTTTTCTGGTAATATGAACTGTGTATAAATTGTCATAAAACTATATTTCTACAGACTATAACTTTCAGAAGTTTTGTTTCTTTCCTCTAAACTTATTTAAATTGTCCTATGCCTTTATGTTATTGTTTGTTTCTGGTGAGATGTGGGTTCTTTTTCAGCAGTTATTTAAAGACAGAGAAAATGGGACACTTAAGATTACAGAAAATGTATCTAGTACTTATTTTCCCCTGAATATGGAAAAGAGCTCCCATGAAAATGAGTGAGTCAATACTCAGACAAAATCAATCTACACCGATGGACACATTCTAAACTTAGGATGATTTAAGACTGAATAAACAAGCCCTTGAGAAATGCATGGACATGTGATCGCTGTATTCCCTGCAATGGTTCCATGCGAGTTTGAAAGTGGGGATCTCTATTGTAGAATAGGCAGATCCTGAGATATAAAAACAGTTCCTCAGGAGCTGAGTCTCAGTGTGGTACTGGAGCTCTCCCTTGCCCTCAGAGTATCACGGTTCCTGAAGCCGAGGCATGCTGCTTGCCAGAGCACAGTAGTACCATGAAGAAATGACTAATACATGAAGGGGTATCAGGACAGATTTGGGAAGGCTGAAGCTCCACAGCAGGAGAACCTGGGTTTCACACTACCAGATGGTCTCTGATTCGTTTGCCCCGATAGTAGGTACAGCCAGAAGCTGATCACTTTGCACAGCCGCAGTTGTACCCTGGCCTGAGCTACCACTGACACTGGCCGAGGTTCCTGCAGTGCTTTCTAGCAGAGTCTCTGTTTTACTCACATTCTTGCCGAAATAGCCCATAGATGCATAATGGCCAGAGCAATTCTTTAAAAATGTAACTCCAATCACATATCTCAGCACTGCATTCAGAGTGAAATCCAAAGTTTCCTCAATGACACCCAGCTTTTTACAGTTTCCCCCTCAGAAGCCTGGTAACCTCTTCTCCCACTTCTCTCTTTCTCACTCACTCTGCTTCCATCATTTGGTCACTTGCTACGACTTGCTTGCTCTCACCCCTTATCCTTCTTACCTTGCTCTATTCTTTTTCCTAAGGCACTTACATCTCTCAGTGAATGATTCTATTAATTTTTTTTGTAGATAATTATTTTTTATTGAAGGATAGTTGACATACAGTATTACATTAGTTTCAGGTGTACAACACAATGACTCAACATTTATATACATGATAATTCTAGCTACCAGCTACACCATACAAAGTTGTTACAATATTTTGACTATATTCCTTATGCTATACATTACATCCCGGTTACTTATTTATTTTACAATTGGAAGTCTGTACTTTTTTTTTTTGAGAGGGCATCTCTCATATTTATTGATCAAATTGTTGTTAACAACAATAAAATTCTGTATAGGGAAGTCAATGCTCAATGAACAATCATTAATCCACCCCAAGCCAAATTTTCATCAGTCTCCAATCTTCTGAAGCATAACGAACAAGTTCTTACATGGAGAACAAATTCTTACATAGTGAATAAGTTACATGGTGAACAGTACAAGGGCAGTCATCACAGAAACTTTCGGTTTTGATCATGCATTATGACTATCAACAATCAGTTCAAATATGAATATTTGTTTGATTTTTATACTTGATTTATATGTGGATACCACATTTCTCTCTTTACTATTATTATTTTTAATAAAATGCTGAAGTGGTAGGTAGATGCAAGATAAAGGTAGAAAACATAGTTTAGTGTTGTAAGAGGGCAAATGTAGATGATCAGGTGTGTGCCTAT